ACACACGCTTCTTTCCCCTCGATAAAGGAACCGAGAGTGATAACTGCAACAAGTGGTAACACAAGGTCTGAGTCGTAGTTATGCCAAACGCAGATGTTTTGCAGGCCACTACTATATTGGCTATGAAATGCATGCTGCTCCACAAAATAATGTGAAATAAAACTAGACACTTACACAAAACAACAAGAGGTCTAACACATGCCATTGGTCTTTTAACTTCAATAAATAAATTCTAACTATATACCTAGAAGTAATGAAATGCCAGTAAGGACTAAGTGCACAACCGCTAAATGACGAACTTTGGTAGCTACCCAGTTGTCACTAAGAATAAATGTACAAAATTAGGAATTAAACACTTAATTTCCAGTCGAAGGAAAGTGAAAACGTCAAGTAGTTTTACATCTGCTAAAAGCACAAAAATAATGAGTTACCGAATTTAAAAAACGGACACATAATGGACACACCCCTGAGTAGCAGCACCAATAACTCTTAAGGCGAGCCTTTGAACATGATAACTGGGGTGATTTAAAAGCTGTAAGAGTGTTTCGAAACCACTTTTAGAAAAAATTCTTGCATTGTCGATCTGTGAGTGAAAATGAGATCACAGTTGTACCTGGTGCAAGTAATAGGACAGATCTTCCAAAAGGATCAATAATCGTTCGGTTGTAGGGTTTCCCTGCTTTATTTCCACCATTATTTCATTTATAAGTTCGGGATCCGTCTTAGTGTCCACCTTCATTTTCTGGAAGTCCTTCTTCAGCTCTTCGTACGAACGAAAGCGTTTGGTTGACTGCGTTTTGGGTTTTTCCAAGCTATTGACTACCGCATATTTCGACATAATCGTGGCAGATTTTGCAGGGTCACCTACTGACTCAAAGGAATAAACAACTAACCTGAAATTCTATCGGAAACATTTGGCGTCATATCTTTAAGTTTAGCTTCTGTGTACTCAGGATTTAAATTTTCTATCATGTTCGTACTAGGAGGGACTACCTGACCTGGCAAAACTTCCTTCCACTCATGATTAGGGACAGAATTTCTGGAATTATTTACTGATAGACATCGGAAATCTTGAAAGACTGGATAAAATACTTACCATGTGTCGTTACTACGACAGGTAGCACCACATTTAAAATCCATATGGCCAGCATCAATAAGTTTACAACACTGATTAACTTGAATGAAATGCAAGCAGTGAAGTCGTACTGCAGTCAACTGAGATAATCAGGCCAGCACCATTCAACCCAGGAAACAACCTACCGCGTTTTACAGTTGAAAATCGCGCCAATATGTAGCGTTTTCTGAACATTCGTGGGACAATCGAATTCCATTAGTCTCATATTTCCACGTGATCATATGATTGTCGACAGAGCCTCTGAGTGAACTTTAGCGGCAAATAACTCCCTAAAAAGTAGTTTCGTAAGACTTAAACACGGAAGCTGGCATTATGGGTCTTTGAGATTCCTGTGGAATCCTAAAGACTCCTGTGTGTAGGACAAATTAAAAGCTCATCACTTGCTTTGTGTGCCTTATTAGTCTTTGTGGGCATTTTAAATTTTCGTTGTGCTAAAAACGAAAAATAAATTATATATGATAACATATTTTATCGGATTAAAAACGGTTGAGGTACCATTAATATGTTCATAAACATGCGTTTAAAGCTTTACATAACAATTCGAAAACCCTTTTTGCGCCATCTACATCTCTTATACACGGCATATACACTCATATGTACCATTTTTAATTGTCGATTATGCGTTTTTTGACGTGCAACTATTCATCATTTTTTAATTTTCCAGGACGACTGATAAAGATGAGAAGCAAGGTACAAACACGAAAACCGTATATTGTTATTGGACTTCCTCTTCATTATTAGGTGGATGGGCGGAGATTGACTATGATCACCACTAAATACTAATTACAAACCCGTCACTGAAAAGACAAATAAATCCATGGTAAAGAATATATTTGCTGGTGATTTCGTGGTATCGAAAGAACAGAAAATACACCAACAAAGTGTATGATATTAAGAGCAGCCACATCTAAGATGGCAGCAACACTGAACCATCAAGCATTTGCAACATATGTTGAAAGGCACGGTACATACAGTTTGCATTGATCACAAAACATCAACCTACACATTGAAAATTAAAGCCGATGAACGTTCACCTAGAAAGATAGGAAACTTTGACTCCTACGACATGTAAAATGTCATGAAAATCAGGCAGTCAATGCATTATCTCGTCTGTCAAATAATACAGTTCAACATCAAATAACAAATTATGGGTCTTGGCAGACAGTTTTGACACGCAGTGGTTTCGTTCGGGGGACTGATCGGCAAACATATGAAAGTTGGACGTAAGGGTTGACAAACAGGAAGCGATCCACGATGCTCAAGTTGTCACCGAAGGTCTTTTATGAAGGGTGCCAGTGGTATCGTACCATGTTCGTTGCTCGAGTTAGCGTGCCACACCAGCGAGTTGACACCGGAGGCAGTGTTCGCATGTATGCAGATAATTGAAGTTATCTGATATGCATAAAATCGCTGCTACTTGGTCTGAAATATTTCCCAGGCAGATGCAATGTCCTGCCGTATACAAGTTCGGGGCGACAGGTTGAATATCTACCGTTGTTGCTCTGTAATCGTCGTATGGTCTCCTACTAATGTTAGCTTTTCGCGAACCGAGATGTGATTTAACACGGGTTACCTTTTTATAGGATTGATGCTAAATGCAGCACATGTTCCCACCTATAAGTTAGAGCTGGAGCTTCGGTCTTTCACATAAAATGAGCAACCAACTTTGCAGCCTACCTCAGTAGTTGCGACCTGATGCGGAGATATTCGCTTCCTAGATTCTCGGGAGTCACTTTAGGCCGAACACATGGTTTGTTGTACCAATAGAACTGTACAGATTGTGTAGGTGTCTGTGATCTGCCTCGTGACCTGGACTATATTCATTGCGGCCACCAAATCCAGTTTCTATGATCTCTTCTCATTTTTTGATACTTTGCACCGAGCTTTTACCACATGTGATCAGTCCTTTTATGACCAGGCTGCTTGATTTTTGTTCCTTTTTGCATCTGGCCTAGTTGGTATAAAGATTATATTTACTCTTGCAGCTCACCTTTAATTCGCCAGGTGCAGATTCATACGCGTCTCACCCAGTCAGGGACCGAAAACGATAATTCTTGGAGAAAACGGTTCTATTTAATGGTAAAAAGGGAAATACAGACAATTACCGAAAACAATATTACACCTTAGATTTTCCAATTACCACAATAGGTTCCGTTTCTTGAAAAATAAGTGCTTCCAGTCCGTTACTGCTAGAGTATCAATCCAAAAATGGCTAAAGCCATATTAAATATCAAATTTAAACAACATGTGTACAGTTCAGAAGCAAGCATAAAAACTCCAATATAAGTACAAAATATAGAAATAATAACAATATACCATGATAAAATCTCAAAATGGAATCAAATAGAGTACCAAAATGTCAACAGAAAGAGTCAGTCATATCATAACACAAATATATATACATGGAGGGATTTTCCAAAAAAACGAAACATTCAAAAAAGATTCTACACCTCTTTCGATGATTCTATCAGCAGTTCATCACAAATCGCCTGCAGGTATGTCCAGGCTTTGTGCATCTGAAAAGTGTTGTACAAAGCATGAAGGGGCTTATGCCTGTCTACTTTGAGTCTGCTTCGCCTAAGACTTGGTGACGCTTGAACTGGGATGGTTACCCATCACCTAATGTTTCCCCTGTAAAAGGGTCTGTGTTGTTTAACCGTCAGATAAGGTTTGTTGATTCGTAAACTCACGTTTTGAAGTGATGTATGGTTGAGCAACTGAAAGATAGAAAACAGAGCATACGGGTTGGTATGGAATTACTCCAGAATGAATATTGTGCTTTGTAATCTGATGCTGTGGTTTGACATACCTCGACTCTAGATAACTATGATCGAATTCTGGGAGACTAGAATATGTCTACAAAACGGTGTCGTTTTGTTTCTGTGGGAGCCACATTTATTTTCTTGGCTTACGTCCTGTGTAGAGTCTGCTGTTTCATGGCATATTATAAAGGTACCGATGAAATAAAAATAGAGGTCATTAATCCGAACATGAAAAGCGTGAAATATAAAAAATTATGAAAAATGTATGCAAAAATCTAACAGAAGTTCTAGTTTTCGCGCAAATAGATGTAAAAAGATTTCATCAATACTGGAACCTATTGTCTATCTTTAGCACATTCATCAAAAGCCAACAATATGGTTGCAGATCTTTATTCTTGTCTTGTTACGCAGTACAATGGACACAGGCTGTCCAACCCTTAAAATGCTACTGAATGAAACATGACGCCTACGTAAAGTATGATGGTAAATGCCCAATGTAGACATAATCTTTTAATCCTAACTGGTATAATCGGTCGCTCTTAGCTGTATAACCTAGTTTGTCACGCATGCAACACAATGACTAGACCAAATCACACTTGATGTAGAAGCTCTGGGAGATGTGGGAAGCTTTACATATCTGGGCAGCATAAATGATAAACAAGGTGAATCTGATACATATGTAAATGAACGGATTGGCAAAACAAGCATTTCTACACTTGATGAATATCTGGGACTCAAAACAAGTGTTGATCAACACCGACGTCACGATTTACAAAACGGACGTCAAAACAATTTTATCTTACGAAACTAAGACCTGGAGAACTCCGAAAGCCATCATGTGAAAAATAATGTATTTATTAACGGTCGTCTACACAAAATACTGAGGATCTATCTCCCAGTCATCAGAAACAACACGGAGTGGCAAGGGACAAACCAGCTAGGATATGAGGAATAAATAAAAAATATGCTTTCATAAAAATATTTGTGAATTCGACTGTCCAACACATTTATTAGAACTATTTCACTTGAGTGGTCAGATTTGACAAATTTCCATCATTAGGTGTACATTGGAAATCGGATAGTGGACGCGGCTACTTTGATCTTGCATCGCCTTTGGTTTGTGTTTTATCATTGTTGGTTCACTAATTTGTTCCTTTAACCATAAATTTACCACAAATAACATATTTTTAGGCTTAGTTGTCTCACCCCACGTCATCGTTGGCATTTCTATCCTTTAAACTCTAGATTTTTTTGATCAACTATTAACTATCTATTCATATTCTGAAAATTTCCGACGAATTAAAGAAATTTTATAGTAGCAAAAATGATAAATGATCCGGTAGTTGCTATAGACAGGTTTATAAATGAATTGACAGTAAGTTTGTGATTGACGTTTTATTCTCAGATTTCTGTAATGTTAGAAGAATCACTTGGTGGCATGATATCACATGAAGGAATTAGCCTGATAAATATGGACGTTATCAGGTCACAAAAGTTATGGAGCGAAGTTTCTCACCAAAAATCAGTGAGACTCATTATAGTTCCTAATTAACATAACCAAGAGGTTCAGGGCACTTGATTGTTTGATTTCTCGGCTAGCCAATATAAAACATGAGCGTGTTGTGATGAGGATTCTTTGGAGTATAGACTTTGCGATAGAAAAGGCATTATTCTCACCAAGGTATATATAACCAGATCTTACCCTCTCTTCAGAGAAATTGCTCATTCATTGGTATGCTCGGAGCATCTACGTGTAGAGTCTCCTATCTTGTTTCGGTGCATATTTAAGCTTCTTCTGAAGCTCATTTTCTTCTTGGATTATAAGGTAATCAATCAAGACTCTACTTAATTGTTAAATAAAGAGCAACCGAGAAGTTTTCAACAAGAGCATTGAAAAGTCTTCACAGTTTACAGAAAAAATGTTCTACGACCGCAACTTGTTTTACGCTATTGACCCTTCGTTAGAGGTTTAGTTTGTTGCATAATTTATTCCTTTTCAGTTAATACAGCTACTGTTGTGTCGTGAGATATGCCTAATGCCAGCCTACTTCGCTATGCATGAACTTATTCGGAATTTTTCTAGTGAGTTCGTCGACGCTCCTCAGGTAATCCCAGTAATCTTCATAACATTCGTAGTTTATCCAAACAGAATTTAATAAATTTATGGACAGCTTCAAAAGGCCTGCACGCTTGCTGTATTCGAGAGGTTAGTAATTGTTTATGAGTTTGCTTATCCTATTTGATATATAATGAGTCCATGGCTCAGAGAACAGACAATGGCGACCGTCTGTTGCAAGTATGCTCAGATAACCGCCTATTTCTAGCAAACTAACTTTAGGCATAAGGAAATGCATCTGTTGACCTGGCGACCCCCGAAGTCGTCTCAACGTTGGACCCAACTAGATCACATCGCCATCAGCCACCGATGGAGAGGTTCTATAGAGAACTGTCGCTCGTTGTGGGGCACATGTTTAGATTCAGATCATGCCCTAGTGCAAGCTCGTATTTGTTTGAAGCTTACTGGGCGTAGGAAAGACACCGTAAGGAAGCCTCTTAGGGTTTTACTTGATGATAATAAGGCGAAGAAGACAGTTAGGCGACCATTTAAGCGATTCCCATCCGGATATAGGTTGGAATGATATCAAGAAGGCTGTCGGAAAAGGATGGCTTTGGTTGTGGAGCTTTCATTGTTCTTCTGAACAACATCAGCACAAACTTCAAAACAACCAGCTCAGAGAACGAAACAACACTACAATCATCCACCTGAGCTACAAGTTTTCTCCACCAACTGGATAGTATCGTTATCCGTCATTTCATTAACCTGGTAGATTGATTTGTATGTATTTAATCTTTAGAATAATATGCTGTCAAGTATATTGGTTTATGTTTGAGTTTACTAGTTTAAATTTATGTATGTGCGTTACATGTACTTGCCGTTTTCGATTCTTAAGCTTGATAAGACCCAAGGTAACCATGCTATATTTTTAACGTTTTCGACCCAATATATTTCTGTTTTTCAAGTTTACTGGCAAAGTGGGTTCAAGCCTCAATATCATTAGAATGGGTTGTAGTTTTAGTTAATTGGAAAGCGCCTTAACGAGTTTATTCACTTATGTTTCGATATAAATCAGTCTTAACACAAAATCTTGTCCTTCTAGTTTACCATGCAATGACTCCTTTCTGCGGAATCACTTCATTAAGTGCTCCAAACTACAGATTGGATTCTTCTAATCTCGTCTTGACCTCTATCAAAGGTGCTATGCGATATCCTGACTTCCTTACAAGCTCACAGTTGCCTCTTTTGTGTACAGTTTTGGGTCAGCTGCGAAGTTTTGAGCTTACAACTGGAATGCTTGATCCTGCAAATGGAAAAGTTGTAAGTTGTCCGATTTTTTTTGAAATTCACATATTTTAAGTTTAAGGAATGTAGAAATGAAAAGATGAAATATTACGGGACTAATGTTATGTTGACAAGTGTAGTTGTATTAGATTTTAAGCGGCACGAAATGTGACTAATTATTACCTAAAGAGACTAGTAGTTTTATACATTCCAAACAAATATTAAGAAAACAAGTACTATCAAATAGTCAGTCAGTCAGTCAGTTGCAACGTAGAACTCCGTACGTAAGTACATCAGTTCATGTCGCCATACCACATCAGCACAGAGATATAATTGTCAATTCAAATCCAATAGTAGAAGAGGTAGTAAAGGTATTAGAAGTAATCAGAGAGGTTAGAATTAGAAGATATTATTCACGAAGTATGATTCAATGTGATAAGTTTAGAAAGTAAAAGCTAGAGGTGTTGAAGAATCCAGAAGGTTAGGATTGGAGATAACACAAAGAATAAGTGCACTGGCGCCATTGCAAATAGTCAGTTCCTGTCCCATATATTAGGCTCCAAGCGATATCTAATATTTGATGTCTAACAATGCAATCTAATTCCCTGAACTGATATAGAACGGCTAAGTTGACTGTCTGGACTACTGGAGCAACCATTTTTGCTCAAGGCACTATGCCAGTTACGAGTTCGTGTCAACGAAAAAATTGTTCTGCTAAATGTTTCTAATAGTAAAGACTAGTGCAACTTTGAACTAGTAACCAGAATCGAAAGTTTTTCTATCACGACGTAAAAGTAGTTGGAAACTTTATTTATACAGATCTGAAAGAAAAACTTATCATTTATATCACTAACTGCTAATTTAACCCTTAATCTTAATCAAAACATTGGATTTACTTCATCCTCCCTTAGCTGCAGTGATTCATCTGATTAATACACTAACCTACAACCACAAGTGCGTATTACGTTGCATAGTATTATTATTGTAGTCCTCTTGATTATATACGGATACATTCAGATTTAAAATTGATATTCCCTTTATTTTGCCATTGTCTCGTTCATTGCTACTCATTAACCTAATGCTACGGAAGAAAACCAGATCTGTAGGTCTGGAACTTGCTTTGGTCGAATTAATTGTTCAGGTTATGGAACTGCTGGAATCTACAAACGATGAAACATGGAACCGTACAATCTTTGAACATTTAATAAGTGTCATGATTACCTTCATGCTGAATAGCACGGTTAGATTTAACGAAATTGTTGTCAAACTTAATTCAAAAGTAAGCGAAATTTTGTAAAAATCTGCATCTACATTGAGCCGAACAATTTTTCTATGAAACATGTGTTTTATTTGCTGGTTAGGTTGCTATTGACTTGCAATTTCTGAACTGAACAATTAATGAAGAGTAGTATTATTACGATTACTGCCATTTATATTTTCAAGGGTTTTCATTTTCTTTTCGTTAACATTGAGGACTTTGATTGACGATTCTATATTGGCACATATACATCCCGAACAGATGTCTCCAAGATTCACATTTGATCACAAGTTTTAACAAAGTTCAGTCATACTTAGCAGTGGGACCCATCACGTGTTTCGCTCTGTTCCTGTATGAGCACGACATACAAGAACCTCAATCGAGTAAATTCCTAATAAGGAGCAAAGTCGATCCCGGATCTTGTTGTCAGTCACAATTCAACTTAAGTGATGTAATCAAAAGTCAACATAATTTTGCTTCGTGTTGGAGTACGGTTGACTGACTTTGTTTCTTTATATTGGTTTAGGATCGACTTCCTTTGCATTGTAGTACATTAAACAAGACATATTATGGGTCACAGCTTATAAAGAAGGTGCTTCAAAGTGCACCCCTCTTTACTATTCATAGAAATATTTTATTGGCTGTAAAATGCGAATTTCGACTTAACTTGGTGCAAAAGTCGTCATACCACAGCGCATCAATATGAAGTCATAAAAATGAATAACATTGACAGTAGTGAGGTATACTGAATGTAGAGAACTTAGTCAAAAAATAATAAATGAGTTCACGAGGTAAAACTTACGAAAAAACACAGTTTCAATACTTAGTGCAAGGTGACCAGTTCCAGGTTATGTTGATAGTCTACCACTAGTGATCACGATTACCACTGATCCCAAACAGGTAATTCACAACTCCAATACAACTTTAAAATATAACCAATTGTTTCACAAAGAGATTCCTCGTCTTGTTTTGGCGACTGCCAACGTCTTCCTACCTCCCTTACCCCAGATGTCATTATGCGTCTAGATAGACGGTACCTAGGCATATGTAACGCACGTCCAAATTGAGTCGATAAAGTTTTACAGCCTTAACAATTGTTGATAAGAGAGATCAGCTTACACAGAGTTCACATACCTTTTGTTAAATCCTAATTTACCTTGCTTTTGTATCAAGGACGAAAATATCTATGGTTCTGAGTCATACTAAACTTTCGGTCGCCTGAATATATTCTAATCCATACTTTTTAAAAAATTATTTCCAGTACACCATCAGTTTTACTGCTTACATGTAAGCAAAAGAATTTAAGGATCTAACAAGCCTTAAATGTTAGTTTTAAACATAGATAAATTCAATGGATTGATAAACCATGCATCCGTCTGTCTCCTGTTTTTTGGTTTAAATCCTCGTTATGCTACGAAGATCCCGAAGAGTCGCGTATTATTACTACTATCATCCTACATACAGCTAATGGTATTTACAGTTAATGCGCGAGTTTCAGTCTGTGCTATTTATAGACTCTTTTTGTTGGTGAATGTAGGCAGTTGAGATTAGCACGAAAGTTCATCAAACTTATGAATATAGAGAATGCTATTTATCTTGTTAATATGATAATGTGTTCTTTCAGCAATATTTAAACTTGTTTTACTTTCTCTTCTGTTTCAAAGTTAGAAGGTCGTGCGTGGACTAAATCAAGTCATTATGTTATGTGGTTCGTTTTAAATGCTACTTCTGGATTCATTGGGAAAAATATGGTTGGTAGATTTCCATAATTTAACTTAAATTGTAACAATCATCAGCGTATGTATTTAAAAGCTTCATGTCTAAAAAAACCACTCACATACTTTGGTCCACCTTGTAAACTGATGGATTCTCATTTACATGATCATGTGTTGAAAGTGTCATACATAAAGCATTCAATTTTAGTTCCATCTTCGGTTAACTTATTAATATATTATTAAGATTAATACCAAGTCCTGGGTAAACTACTCACAGAGAGAAAAATTTATTTATATTCAACTGCACCATAAATACCAAGCTATTAATAATAGAATCAGAAGGAGTGGCTGTTGTATCCAGAGGCCAAATTGGTCACAATCAAATCCTTCCTACAGCTCTTGAAACATCTCTTATCTCCACGACCAGCCCTTCTTTCATTCTATTGCAAACTATTTGAATACACGAATAGTTATTTCTGGTTGTGGCTCAAAGATCAGATCAGATCCTCATCACCTATATCTTTCTCTTTTAAAATTTATTTCACTGAACTATACTTCTTGAATAGTAACTTCGAACCCTAACCCATCCGATTACTACTATAACTTCTACTACCTCTACTACTATGGGATTTGAATTGACAATTGCGTCTCTGCGCTAATATGGTTTGACAACTTAAACTGATATACGTACGTACTAAGTTCGACGTTGTACCTGACTCACTGATATGGTTAGGTATAAAGTTTTTTCTGTTACATGGTTTCGTTTTTTAATTTAAACTACTCAAGTTTACTGTGCTACTTTTGAAATGAAAGTTTTTTAAAGATTGCCAAAAAATACATAAAATCACTATAGGGTTCAGTGAAACTTCAACACTGAGAATTCTTGCCACTTAGTGTTTTATTTGTTCATATGGTAACAGTTTATTGAGCTCTATTTAGCTTGCTGCACCAGACCTCACCTTGTTACCAAGTCCTTACTATTGTCTAGATATATATTATTCGTGTACGGGTTCACACATTGACTCGATATTTCCTTGTTTTTGAGAGTGAAACCCAATGTTTAGTTAGCATAGTTAACTTTAGCTTTATATGACAATTTAATGTTCATATCTTATCATTAATATACATCAGTTATGTTTTACTCATATGAACAGACAATTTTTGTATTTTCTAGTTAACGGATTTTGTCCCTTGCCTCCGGCTTTTCGATATTTTGTTCCCCGAAGCGGAAGATCCTGACCGAGCTATCGATCTCCCAAAACCATGTTGTAGTAGAAAAGATTCCACTGGTCAGTCAAATGATAATGACATTATTTCAGCACAAAAAGATGGAGTTTTGCCAAAAAGTCTCTTAGGCAAAGAACCAAACAGTATCACAGATAATACTAACCTTAATGTTTCTCAATTTCCTATCCCCAAAAAGATGGATATCGATAGCTCTGATCTCAGTCGTGAACTTGTTAACTATAAAGATAGCGAAAATGAATCTCAGGAACAAAGCTCTACTTCTGCTGAAGACTCAGACAACGAATGTAATCAGAATGAAACCGAGAGTAAGCTCTCTTTAGTAAATGATCTTATACCTCTTCCGATATACTATTTAGCCTTAAAGATAATCTACAGTCAACATAAACTCATCGAGAGGATTTTTTAAATAAGCAGTCTAGTTATCAATACTACCATCAGGTTTCGATGTGTGCTCTTGATCTCACGAGCACCATACAGTAAACCTACGTGTCTTGCCGATTAGAATTCAGTACGTATAGTTTGGAAAGAACCCATATAGCTAACCCTGTTCAGTCAGTTTAACGTACAACCTGGCATATATGTGCAGTGGTTCACATCACCATCCCGACCGTAGATGCTACCTGGACATGGTGGTTAAGCTTGCCTATCGTGATGACCCAGACAAGCTATATTGGTTGGAACATATGTTATTGTGGAATCTATCATACCCGGCACGTCGATTGGAAAACAGTGAGACTAAAAGCAGCGAACTAAGGTCTAAGGACATAGTCGTACTGTTGACGGTGACAGCACTAAGGCGTTTTCCTCGGAAAACCAGCATCTGCAGCGATGCTGCCTTTACACAAGGAAGGAACGGAGTAGAAAAGGTCGACCCTAAAGATGTCACAACTCAACTTACCTCACTGATTTACGTCTCCGGCGGTAGGGCCATTTGAAGAGCGGAGCTAACACTATACAATCTTCCCATAAAAAAGCTGCGCGTGACCGGCCTCAAGCAGTTGTCCCTTGGGGTCTGCGGTCACGCTCTCAGATCGCTCAGACCAACAGTAATCCACGTTCGGTTTCATGTTCCTCAAGAACAACCATTCGACCGTATGGGCAGCCGGGAAGTGAAATCTACCCTCATACCCGTATAAACACATGAAACCAAACTAGTCAGAATCAAAAACCCCTATACTTTTTAATAACCCTTTTACCTCTATGACCAAACATCCTCACGTTTCTTTATTGCTAAACGTCGATAATATAAACGATTTGAGTACACGTAAAGCTATTTCTAGTCTCACGAAACCCTGTTCTAAACTACATATTGGAGCTTTTAAGGTTTGAACCTTATACCGAATAGGACAACAGGCTTCCTTAGCTAAGACTTTGGAATCTTGCGCTATCGATGTATGCTGCGCCTCCAAAATGCGCATACAGGAGGCGAGTAGAATCATTATGTTAATTTCACTTTTTCCAAATAAAGGAAAAATTTACACTCCGTGTATCCGGAAGCCCTGCTGCTGCTTCACGTGGCCTCACTTCGTTATTTCTTGACACAACTTGATCACATCGCTATCAGCCACCAATGGACGTGTTCGATAGAGGACTATCGAACGTTCAGAAGCACACGTTTAGATACAGGCCATGCTCTAGTGCGTGAGCTCAGACTCTGACGTGGCTGTATCGACTACATTTTCACACTACGACAGGTCCTAGAACACAGACACACATTTCGGCGTCCGGCAATAGTTGCTTTCCTGACCCTAAAGCGGCATTAAAACCTCACAATCGTGAGGTTTTAAGGCAGTGTCTGTCATTCAAAGATGTACCAGAGACGTACATTAGCCTTATTTAGGCTCTCTACTCAAACACTACCGGTCGAGTGAGAGCTTATGGCGAACTGTCATCGAAATTGATTACTTCAAGTGGCGTCCGTCAGGGCTGTCCACTCTCTCCATTCTTGTTTAACTTTGTTGTAGATATGATTTTAGAGTTAACATTATCTTTGTCTGATTTCGCAGGAGCGGATGTTCTACCAGGATACTCACTGGTTGACTAAGAATATGTCGATGAAATAGTTCTACTTGGTGGAAACACTGACAAAATGCTGTCTTCTGACCAGCATAGGCAACAATGCAGCATGTTCGGGATGTGATTCTACACGTAGAAATGCAAAATTTTGCTTTAAAATTGGCTTGTATCGGCATCTAAACTAGTGATATAGAGTGAAGCAGTTGAGCCTGTCGATCGCTTAACTTATCTTGGTTGTATCGTCAGTGCTGATGGCCTGTTGACTGACCAAATTTCAGCACGGATACAAAAGGTTCGATTGGCTTTCGCCAACTTGCGTCACCTGTGGCGCAGGCGAAATATCCGTTTGCCAACTGTAGGACGAGTGTACTGTGCAGTAATTCGCCCCGTCCTACTATACGTATGCGAAACATGGCGGTAAGAGTAGAGGACATTCGTAGGTTGCTTGTCTTCGATCATAAGTGTCTCCGAAGCATTGATCGTGTATCTTGAGACAACCGAGTAAGCAATACTGCTGTTAGGAAACGTGTTCTATGTAAAGGTGGTAGATCAACAGATGAAGTATTGAAACTTCATCAGTTGATGGTAGATGTAGGCTAACTGGTTGGGGCCCGTGAGATAATAGTAATCGATGGTTAGAGACCTTGAACGTCATGGCTCAGAATCGTTTGCAATGGCGCAGGTGCATCCACTCTTTGTGTTCTCTCGAACCTTTAACCTTCTGAATTCCTCATCACCTTTATCTCTTTTTTAAGTTTATTCCACTAGATTCTACTCCTTAAGTAATATCGTCGAGGCGTAAAGTTTCCGATTACTGCAACAACGTCCACTACCTCTACTACAGTTATGAACCTCTCTTAGTAAACCCTGCTATTCCTATTGCTTAGTTTTCTCTGACCACAAGTATACTCGTCAAATCCCGATATCAGAAAACAGTTGAACAGGAAAAGATTATATTCCAAATAACAAGGTTAAATGAAAGTAAGAAGCCGAAGCGAAGGAGAAGACGAGATAGAGACAACGTTAATATCTTTATAGTTTTAACATGAGAAGCTTCTGGAATCTAATCCACGTGATCGACTAGCGCTAATGGATTAGATTTAGCCAATAACAATGCAGCTAACTCAGTCATGCTTTAATCCATCTATGTCTCACTAACAACTACTATGTGCTTTGAATTGACTATTGCATCTCTGTGCTAATGGGGTATGGCAACTTTAACTGATGTACGTATGTGCTAAGGTTTATGTTGTGATTGACTGACTGACTGACTGAAACGCATTATACACAATAAAATGGTTTATCTGCTTAGGGATTTTGAATTATTTGTTGTTGTACACTACGTCTTAATCTGAGTTTGGAAATTATGCTATTTTTCAAATGCTTTCATTCACATATTTCTGTTTGAATAGAAATAGAGAGCACATCCGGAAACCTCTTGAATTTAAATGGAAAGTCAGTTTATGTGTATACTTGCAAAGGGAATCTTCTGATTAGTAGTCGTAAACGTATGGCATTATTTATAATGTAGTTTATTATGTTGTATGTTTTGTCCAATTTGAGGTTTGTTTGTTATCTACTCACATGTTTTATTTATTTTAAAACAGGTTTACTTCCTCCTCATTTTCGATCCTCCACAGCTTGCTGGAAGCGCCAGGGTCGGCTTTTGCACTTGGCTACAGCTCCTGTTTGCCTCTGGCAGCATGTTTTACGCAAAAGTCGACTTGGTCAAGATCATTTACCACGCGTCATGCCTCCAGCACTAAGACCAATAGAGGCCCGTATATCACGCCGCATGCAAGCATTAGTTCAGTCTGTTAGTTCTACTCAAATATCTAATAGTTCTATTCATATGGTTTCAAAGTTGACATGGAACCAACTTTTCATTGTGCTCAATGCTTGTAAGTGAATTCATTAGTTCAAATTCTTTTGCGAACACCTTTCTGCATATTTTTTTATCGCCCAAGTTTTGAATAGTAGTTAAGGAACCGTTCATCGGTAATGCATCACTGATTTTGATATATATATATGGTAATATAATAAATGCTAACCATTTCTTGCCTTTAGTTAGTACAGACAACGAAGTTAGTCAATTAATACAAAGGTTGGTAGATACATTTTGGGCAAATGAAGTTGCAAAGGATAATCAGAAATTAGAACATGGACTTTTGTGGTCACGGTTAATAAAAAATGGGAAAGTTGAACTGCCATACGATCTATCAACTTACGGTCGTTTACAACCTCTATCTCATCATCTTATGCGCACAATGTCTGTTCATGTAAGAATGCTGTAAGTATAATTTGTATTCTTATTCTTTACCCTGTTTAATCACTTTGTGTTAGTTTGAATATATGGACAAATGTCGTTCAGTTGTTTCAAACATAACTATATTTACTTCAGCCAGCGAAACTAACACTCATCATAAGAAAGCAGAACTAAAAATAACTTACACGTTTTTTCGTCGAAACAAAATAAAATGTGGAATAAGTATTTTTTTTCTGTTTGAAAGTTATCATATTAAACTAGTAAAGCTAGTTTTATTCCCTGTGGATGTCATCAGAAAGTCAACTAAACCACTGTGAAGAGTTTAATATACCTCATAAGTAATTTACAATATTAGGATATCATTGAATAACTTAACGGAAAACCTTTGGTCTAAATTTACTTTGACTAATCTCTAAAATATGTCACATTTGTTACCGACACTGTTTATTCTTGTTAACAACCGTTTGATCTAAATTCATCAGTCTAAACGTAAACATTGAGTTCCGACCTTCAGTTCTTGGTTTTAATTCACTTTGTGTTTTATCCAACCCCCTTTTTTTAAAAAATGTTTCATGAACCATGAAGTAAGTAATCAAAATTTGCATTTTCTTTTTTGTTCTGTTTTCAGCGTCTTACATTTCTTTTTACAGAAATTCTCAGTCCTTCCCAATTCCAATATACTGTTCACACCAGCTGTTATAGAAACATTTTGCCGTATTTTAGCCTGTCGTGAAGTGGAATCAAACAGCGTGAATAGGATTCTATGTAGGCGGGTTGTTTTAATTTATGTTATTTTGTATTTAGTACTTGTTTTCGTTCTTTTATCACATGTGAGCATGATCGGTTTTAGTAGATATTAAAACACAAACTGAATGCCCCAAAACGTCTGAAACTCGGTAAATTTATGTATTTAACGATGATTTTGACATGTTTCGCTAAATTCTCTCTACTGAGTTTTCTTGCTGTTATTTCTAGTAATTCACCTTAGCTTTTCAACAACCCATAAGATGTTCCGATCAATCCTGTATGGTATTGCTTCTATATTGCTGTTGGTATTTTTCTATCTAGTTCTACTACTATCATTATACCACACCGTTTATTTCACGAAAATCATTATCCTGCACGCTAGAACACTGGGATGGTTTGAATATTTCATCGTATTACTTCAACATTACTAGCTGATTGATTCATTTCAATATCTGTTCCTTTCAAACTTTCTTTAAGTGTCATGCAAATAACCCGATTTATGCTGATAGCCAGTCGTGAAATTTTTTGATAGGCCACCAGTTTTCAACATACAGGTGGTTACCTTACCGGTCTGATTGACAAGTGCATTAATAGATAATATTCTAGTGACCACCATAAAAGTGTTTGTGCAGAGGAATTGCTTCTTTACCATAATCGACGGAAGCGTAAATGTCCTAATTCAGGGCAATTTTCGGTTATTGACTCAATGTTCTTTTATTTGTTAACAAAGATTGTTGTAACTATAATTTCACTAGTCATTAATAATGTTAAAACGGTGGTATTCTATACAAGTATTTTGTTCCGATCCGAAACTCATTGATTTTGTAGAATGGGGATGTCAGCTTTCGATTAAAATTTCTTACTATGGACTAAGATTGTTTTAAGGTCAATATCTCCAATTTCAGAGTACAGAAAATTACAATTTGAGAGAACACAATGACTGGATGCACGTGCGCCATAGCAAACGATGTTTTTAACCATGTCACTCAGGGTCTCTAGTCATCGATTACTATCATCTGACGGGCCCCAACCAGGTAGTCTAACACATACTAACATGGTTCAGTTGATTTGTCGGTGACTTCATGGATTTGTGTCATGTTTTGGTCTGGTCACCCGTAAATTTATTCCAGCCTATCTCTACTTTTATTCCAGTTTATAGTCAAATCATATACTTGTGTTTCGGACTAGTTTCATAAAATCTTAAATTATGTCCTGACGAAGTACCGCAGTTGTAAATGATTCTAGTTATTAATTGCTTTCCAACAGTCAATAACGTACTCCACTACTGTATCGTAAGCAGGTTATTTTTATATTACCCTAATCAATTTCTGATCACACGCTCACCTACATTAAGTAGAGATTTACAGGCAGGTGTTGTTATAACGTTAAATGAAGTAGCAATCAGCGGTTTTGGAAATTTCCTTAACTTCTAAAAGCTTTTCAATCGCATTGTGCTACTAAACCGTTTATCAGTAGTTCAACGATGTTTCCAGAATTATCGTGTTTTAGTTTAATGCTTTGTATGATTTTTAATCCGAGTCTCCATTCTAGATGCTTAAATAAATAACAAATTTCTATATTCCTAAATCTGATGTTCCTATAATTCCTTTATTTCTAAGTGTTTTCGTAACAGTGAATTTTTCGATTTTTTCATAGGTCTATTAACTAAACTACAACCTTTATGGTCTTACAATACCGCAAATACGGAACCCAAAAGTACTGTTTTATGTTCGACCACTGATGCAAAAGTCACCAACTACTTTACATGTTCACTTGTTTACACATTGCTCGATACATTAGGGTTCCGTCTTGCGGATATACTTACACCTGAGGTTCGAATTCATGCTCTTACTTCGTTAATAAGTTTAGTGAAATTATGGTCCAATTGGTGTACATCTATTCTTGATAACAGAGAATCTAAAAGTCTTTGTGATGTGGCAACTAGTGAAATTCCTATTGAACTACAATATTTGTAAGTCAAATTCTGTTTTTTAGAATTTTGTTTCTTTTGTATTTTTAACTCGTGTGGATTTCCACCTTGTGTCATGATTCTGAATTTTCCGACCTCCGAATCTGGATCTTTTCATGGCATTGTTGTAGATCCACAAACCTTTCTGTCTGCCCATTTGATTGCGGATGGTAGGAGGGAGAGCGAATATGCGTGATACACAACCGTTGATAGAATTGTTGAGATTGACTGGAAGTGACTGCCGGTTAGTATGTAGCACAATTGCATCAGGAAATCTGCTCTCTGAGATCTTCGTCAAGAGCTGTAGCGTCTTTGTTGTCTTTAGTGGCATAGTGGGGAGGATGTCCGGACATAACAGAACATTGGCCCAACACAGGCTAGATGATAGTTTAAATTTTTGTGTCGATGACTTTGTTGTACCTGTTTCAGGTCCCAGTGGAGTTTCACTAAGTGGCATATGGTATTTAGCGGAACCTCGGCGGGTTGCAACTGGTCAGACCAATTTAGACTAGGTAAATTTGAATCAGCAGACACGAAATAACATACCCCGGTGAACGTTGACTCTCGGAAAGACACGTCTCAATCTAGCTGTCCCGACAGACGCAAATACTTACCACATACTGTCCAAAGATAATGCTGATTTCAGAAAAAGTGTCTATTTGCAATCTAAATGAATGCCCATCAATATTGATGGTAGTGAGTTTTCTCTCATTTGGAGTTGAGCTGTGACAGGGTGCGAGTAAACTCAGCGAATTTGTACAGGGCATGGGAGCAAGTTTTCTGAAGTTTTCGGATCGATGTGGTGATTTGTTTTATTTCCGCTGTTATCAGAACCCATCTGTACTACCAGTGGGTCTACACTTTTTGCAACGATGCTGCTCGGATGAACATACTCGTACAAAATACCACGCATCACAGTGCTATTACGGAGCTGTAGGACTTATCTTCGTTCACCTTACTGAACTCAGGTAAGCTGAGCTAGTTGGTTGATTGCTGGACTACATGAATTTCGGAGCGACTGGGACCTCCATATTATATTCTGCAGAATAATTTGGCTTTGGTATTCATTCGCAATATCATTCAGATTTAGTTTGGGGTCCTGGTCCAGTTGGTTGACATGGTAGTCGCGTCCTGTCACTAAATTTTTTAGATTGTACTCTGCAGATGATGATATGGGTTTTGAACTGGTCTTCTGTCAATGATTTTAGCCGGAACCATTCGCATTCGCGGTTGACGATACCAACATGCGTACGGGAATCGGCATCTTCAATCATAACCAGTCTTAAAAATCGATAACGTGTGTTGAGTAATGGCGTGGTGCGCGCTACTTATAAGTAGTATATGACGCGAGTGTAAACGTAATGTCTGGCAGCAGAAGATGGGGGAAGATCAAGAAAGGATGAGTTAGAACACAATGGAATTTGTATGAAACGCATGAATAGTGAAATGTCAGACAATCGATTGATGATGGATTGAAGATTTGCAAATTAACGGTTACGATATGGTTTTCCTATTTTACTAACTCTGTAATTTTCGTTAAATACAATTCGGTCGCCCTCAAATGTGTTCTTCACTACAATGGGAATTTATCTCCAGACTGCTGGCTTATTGACTGAATATTTTCAGAAAATGAGCAATCATGTGGTTTCTGTGCTAAAATCAAGTTGCAGTACTTATCTAACTCACTTGGACTCAGCTTCCAAAATAGCAGACGAACCTTTCAAGACCAAACTTAAATAGATCGCCACAATGCCGAAAGCGCATATCAAAAGTAACATCAGCATCATGATTGTAGTGAAATTCGATCATCCTGAATTTCTCAGTCACCAGTCGTTCAGCTACATCTTAGAACTTCAAACGTACCTACGTAAGTCCAGGTTGTCATAACTTATCAGCACAGAGACGCAGTTATCAGTTCAAATCCCATAGTGGTAAAGAAAGCAGATGGATTAGTTCTAATCAGAGAGATTCGTGTTCGAAGATGTGGTTCGAGAAGTATATTTCATTGAGATAGCTTTAGAAAGAGAAAGATAGAGATGATAAGGAATCCAGAAGATTAAAATTTAAGAGAACACTAAGAGTAGACGATGACAGACGAAGACGAAGCAAGCTCTCACTCAGTCAGTGATGTTCGAGTAGATAGCTCGTAATAGGGTAATGTATTTCATTGGTACACATTTCAGTGAGACACTGCCATAAAACCTCACGACCGACAGAGTCAAATGCTGCCTCTAAGGTCAGGAAGACAACTATTGTCGGATGCCTGTATGTGTCCGTGTTCCAGGACCTAACGAAGATTGAATAGTATTGTAAGCCTCAACTGTGGCAGTCGGTAAATACCTACTGTACCGGTAATGTATTCATCTTAACTAGTGTATTATTATGTATTACGTCAACTTCTTTCACTCGACGGTCGTGATGTTTAAGAGAAACGCTCTTAAGACACCCATAATCGAAAATTTTAATTGTCAGGTGGTTAATATATTGCTTGTTATGATTTAAGACGTTTAATTACCTTTGCTTATTATTTTTCTAGTTTCGTATATTACATATTTAATGCTGTACATTTGATTAGTCTAACTTGATGAAATCGTAAGGGAATTGAAAAATGAGGAAGGAAGTTGTGTAGTTAATTTGGTTTCCTACATAACTCACAAACCAAATGAGTATGGTTGTATAATGCGTCCTGGGATTAAGTTAAAATATTCTCTTTCTATCAAAGTCAGTTGGCAAGTATGAGCAACCTTTAACAACATAAATAGTTTACTTCCATTAATTTGTATTTTTATTTCTCTTGTATGTAAATATTATATATATATATATATATATATATATATATATATAAGTTTGAGGAATACAGTTTGTTTATCTGTCGTACCCTGTGCAACAAACGCATCATTTTGGTAGAGAAAGTTATATCAATATCGTGGACTTCTAACAATATAGACTACGTTTTCATATTTTTCAGCTATGCGCACATATTTTTCTAAGGGTAAGAGCTTTCGCTAAATATGGCGTTTAGATAAAGAAATGAACATTTTTGCGATATGTCAAATTTTTTGATGGATTTTTATAGTTCATTGAAATGTGAGGAAACAAACCAGTCAAATTTATATATTCATTTCATAAAAAGGCGATAGAGTCGGGCATCATCAAACTCTTGAACCATTGATATTTGCACTGGTTATATTCCTCTTGAAAGCTATTAAAAAGTGTAACTAATTTGTACCCTCTTCTGAAGTGTTGTTGAACAGCCTAGTTTTATGATTAACCTGCTAACCTACTCTTCCCAGTTTTAACACCATCATACCAACAGTCGAAAAAATATTGTTGCCTTATGTTAAATTAGCACACTTTATTGACATCGATATATTTGGGCTAATATTTCAATCGAAACTCTTCGTCTTATTAATTTAGGTTGGATTGGAATATTCTAAAATTTGCGCGAAGCATACAAGCCCCAGATTGTGTGATTTATGGGTTTTATTCAACTCTTACTTCTTCTACAATTGCTCAAACACAACCGGGAAATAACAGTTCACATTCTGTTAATAATTCTGTGTGTGTATCGCAACCACAAACAGTGAATATAATATCACAACAGAGCAGTGGTTTGGTCAGTAGCACAACTGTCTCTGTTTCAATGAATCGACCATTTATACCTGTAAATGCAGGCATACCGACTTCTATTTCATCTTCCAGTACTATACAACCATCGAACGATCCAGTGTTGTCTTCGAATACGGGTGTAAATTCACTTACAGGTGGATCAGGAAATACGGGTTTTCCGAATTCAATACCCGGTTATCCATTCTTAATGTGTGATAATATTGAAGTTAATCGTTTTGTACTATACTCCTTATTGCAAATGTATCATACGTTTGGTGAGTAAATCAAAGTAACGGTTTTTGATTGTGATGTCGTTCTTTGGAAGATTTTCGTAAATACCATATATATATATATATATATATATATATATATATATATATATATATATATATATATTTTAAATACTGTTGTACCATTTTCTAAGCCGTTTAGAAATTATCATTTTATGGTCGAGTATACTGGTTCTACTAGGCTAACTTAGATCAAACGGTTTGGATAGTGGTGATAAGTCTCGTAACCGCTTCGTAATTTCCATGGATTGATTTGTTCAGTATGTATGTTCCTTATGTTGAATCAATACTGGCCTCCCACTGTTGTGTTGCCTCAGATAAGCGTAGAATGGGAGATGTCCTTATTTAGATGCAGACGGTACCAATCATTGAAACCCTCGACTTCTGATTTTAACGATACGAAACCGTAGGAATTCGTTGTCATAGAGCCAACCAAACGATTGGAATCGTATGATGGGGGAAAGTTTCATGTATCATTATTGTTTTCATCTATTCCTTGTTAATTTTAAACTGTCGATTCGCCAAGTTTTGTGGAGTCTAAATCATATATTATCGTGCACATATTATTAGTCAAATTAGGTGATAGCTTTTTGGTCCTCTGTCTTCGGTTTATTCAATTTTAGTACAGGAGATTTACGAAGATTCTATGTGGGACTCAAACCCAAGACCTTTGGTCTTGCGCGCGAACACTTGACCTCTAGACAACCGAGTCATAATCCGACGGCATTAATTTCTAAATTCAATCAGTTTTGTTTTTAAACTAGTCCTTTCACTTCTAATTATATATTTGCTATATTCTTTGGATTTCTTTCGTTATATTTTAGTATACAAAGTATTTCATTGTTTCCATTTTAATTTACGTCTTCCATATTTTCTCTATTCAATCTAGATTTAGAAGAAGCAAGTGGAGTTCGACCGAATCTGGTTGAACAAATTCGTTCAATGTGTGAACAATGTGGTCCAAACAGTCTGATAGATTTACCACAACTAATTACAAAACGTTTGCCTGATTTTCTAATTCTTGTTATACGTCAGTTAACTAATCCAAACACTGGTGAATTCAACATTGGTAATCTATCTTCATCGGACTCCGTGAATATAGAGTCAATAGAATCAACTTTACCGTATACAGATAAATCCACTAGTTTATCTAAACTTTGTTCGATGGTACAAGAGGAGTACACTTGTTTTTCTAGTGAGTCCTTATTTTTGCATTTAGTAAAATAAAAGACGAAACCTGTGTTTAACATTCATTTTGGTTTATTTTTAAGATTTTTACAAATATCTAATAATCTGTAAATACTCAATAATATTTCGCGGTGTTACTCAACCACTTTTCGTTGCTACTTCTAAGTAACTACATTAATCCCAAAATAGTTAAATTCAAGTAGTCATGATTCCTCACCACAACTACCGGAAATACCCTCAGAAATTAATCACTAGTGAATATGTGATTATCATCAGTACGTTAATTTCTTGTTATCGAAATAAGATGAATGATCTCCACAAATTTTACGTACTTAATTACGCCTGTTTCCCTTCATGAAGCATACGCCTCACCGACCAGCATTTTCCGACCAACTCTGTTCTGGGCTGCTTTTCAGTTCTACTCAATTGATGTTCATTCTTTTCATATCTGTCTCCAATCCTCAACATAGTGTGTTCTTTCGTTCACCTTTTCCTTTTTTCTTGAGTATTCCAGGTTAGGTCTTGCCTCGTGATGCATTTGGGTGATTCCCGCAATGTGTGTACTATCCACCTCTCAGAATCCTTTTATATTCTCTTCCTCAGTTGGAAGCTGGTTCGTCCTCCGACACAGGCTGTTTTTGATGGTGTTTGGCCAACGGATTCTTAGTATCTTGAGTAGACAACTGTTTATAAAACCTCTATATTTTGAATGATGGCTTTCAGAGTCCTCCAAGTTTCTGCTCCATAAAATCATACTGTCTTGTCGCTCGTATTGAAAATTGTGACCTTGCTGTTAGTCAACCCTTCTTTTGAGTCCCGGATGTTCCTCAACCGTAGAAATATTTCCCTTGCCTTACTAATCCCTTCATTCACGTTTGCATCTGATCCACCTCGTTTATCGATGGTGTTTTCCAGACATATGAGTGTTTCCACAGCTGCCAGAGCTCCTCCATCTAATGTGAATCGATTGGTGCATCCTATATTGTGTCGATAGATCGTGCTCTTTCCCTAGGACAAGCCGTGTATATTTGATTTATTGGCATACACACTACATAAGTCTGTGACTTGGTCTTCATGCACGATTACGCTGCTAAATAATCCATCGTAAGAATTCCGTACGATGTTGATTATCTCACAGTTGCACCAAGTTTCCAAGAAGTTTCCATAATGTTTTCCTGTCCACGCTAACAAATGCTTTCTCATGGTCAAGTAAGTTGATGTTTAGTGATGAGTTGCATTCATTCGATTGCTCGGCAATGATGCGTGGTGTCGCGACACACGATCGATCCTTACAAAATACTGCCTGCTGATCTCGAAGTTGGGCATCTGTCGAATCGTTTATTCGGTTTAGCAACAGTCTGTTAAAGACTTTTAATGTTGTTGAGAGTAGAGTGACTTCTGCATGGTTCTCACACTTACTGAAGTCTCCTTTCTTCGGTAGCTTGATCAGGTGTCGTTGTTGTTGAACAGAGCACACAACATGTTTGCAGTAACTGCTATGTCTGTTTTTAATGCCTCAGTTGGACTGTTGTCTTGCGTTTGTGCTTTGCCGCTCTGGATTTGTCTGATGGTGATGCTGATTTGCTCAATTGTTGATTAGTGAACATCGATTGGTAGGTAGTTCGGTGTTGCTTCAATCATGCATAGGTTCGGTGAAGCTGGTCTATGCAAGTTCTTGCAAGTGCTCCACTCACTCGTCTCACTGTTCTTCAATGTCGGTGACTGTTTTGCCTTCTGTGATACTAACTGGTCGTTCAGGTCTAAGATATTTTCGGACTAGCTTCTTCGTTGTGTCATATAGTTGTCTCATGTTTCCTTCTCTCGCGGCCTGCTCTGCTCTCGTTGCTAAATCTTCTATAGATGCGTGTTTATCGGTGCTAATGTTCCTCCTCACTTGCTTGTTTGCTTCTGTGTATTCGGCTTGTGGATTGTTGTTCTCCGTTCTCATTCGAGTGTTATTGAGTGTTTCTTTCCTGTTGTTCCTTGCGTCAAACCTCTTCAAGCTTTGAAAGGATATCCACTCTTTGTGATTGTGGTTGTTTCGGTCCAAATTCTTGGCCACTACCTCGTGTAGATCGAGAGCAATATCATCTCTCTTTGTTCCTATTCCTTCGTATGGTCATTTTGAACACTTTGCTGATGCAGAAATGATTAATTTGTTTCTCTGTTATGTGGTCGAGTGAAACTCTTTTAACTTAGTGTATGTGTTTTTATGGTATTTTGCTGCCGCCTATAATTTTCGTTGCTTTATTCCAATCCATGTCTTTCCATGATGTCTTCATATGCAGTGATGTGCATTTTATCTTGATGTTTAAGTCTCTCATTAGAATGGTCAAATCGTTTGCTGAGCAGTTCTCGACGATTGCCTGCAGCCTTCCATAGAGTTTTTGTTTATCGTCTTCATTGTTATCGTTACTGTGCACAAAGCACTGGATAACATTCACTGTACTGTATTTCATTAGTATATATGGGAACGATTTGATGGTTATGTTTCCATGAGATTCCCGTCCTCTATGTGCTTTTTGTCCTTCTTTGAACAGATTCACTGCAGCTCCTTATTTGTATGAAAGGTTGATTCTACTCCATGGTGTATTTGTCCTGTATATTACTCACAACATATGCAGTGGATATGCAACTGAACGTGACTCTGAAGTTCCTGCTTGAGTGAAGAGCTCGACCAAAGTGTTTTGAAGAGTAGAAGATTTGTGTGGAGAAGACTCAATAATTCGCATGTTTCGCAATTGGAAGTTTGAAGATAAGGTGTAAATATTTGTCAATTAATTGTCTCACCTTCCGAGATATCACTCGTTTGATGTAGTCTCAGTTTCCGTTCATGACAACAATACTACAGCTGCTCTCCAAATTCAACCTTTTTGTCTGTCCTACATCCAGTGAGGTTTACTCATTCCAAGCTCCACCAGATTGTGTCTGTTCATTCCCGCAGTACGTTGATTGGCGCTTTCGAATTCTCACATTGTCCCAACATTTCATGTACCTATGTTAATGGTTGCTTTGTTCACGAGAGTGGCCATCGACCTCGTGACTTCAGAAGAAACTGAACTATCATCAGAGGTGCGATAGCTCTTCTAAGTGGAGACTTTCTAAATGCCAGAGCGTTTTTTTGCGGGTTTGTTTTCTACGTAATGAATTTTTTAACACCATGCCTAACCTTCTGATATGTTTGAAACTATTACGGGTTCACCTTACTCGGTAGACGGGACGAAGATCAACTATACATTGGCACTATAGGCTGTTCTAATCCGATTGTCCCAGGCCCCGCCAACTAGAGCAAGAAGTCTTGATAAAGCCTACAGAATGTATTCTTCAGGCACCCAGAAAATTCCTGGTTGCTAAGCTTATTTATATAATGATAGAAACGCCCTTGGAAGAGCTACAGAAATGCGTACTAAAATAATCCATCAACCAATGAAGTCAAAGATGTTCCGAGGGAGAAATGTAACCCGAGGGTTAATTAAGCGTCTATGGCGTGAAAGCTCAATAATTCGAAATTTCAGAAATAAATTACAAAAAGTTCTGGGTATCTAGCGTCCCCAAAACCCTCCTTTTTATCCGGTCTTTGAGCGGCCGTAACCGTATAAACGCTCGAGACGGAGTTATACAAATTTCTTTTACTAATAAAAATCATGTTCATTCATTTTGAGAGGTTATTTCCGGAGTGATATTGATCAATCTTTACCAATGAAGTTTAATGACGTTCAGGATGAGGCATTTACTCTTTGTATTTTAATATGGTTGAATAGTATTTCGAATTGATAGAATTTTGAAGTATGTACGTACATTATGTCAAATGGAGCAACAGGCTTCGTTAGCTAGAACTTTAGAATCTTGTGCCATCGATGTATGCTGCGTCTCTGAAACGCGCTTACAGGATCCTAGTAAAGTCATTATTCTGATTTCGCCTTGTCAAAACAAAGAAGCAGCCCGATTTACTCTTCGTGTATCCGGTAGGCCTGATGCTGATTTCATGGGTCTCGCTGGTGTAGGTAAAGCAATGAGTCGTAGGGCAGAACTATCTCTCCTAGACTGGATCCCAGTAGATAGTCGCTTGTGCGCTGTCCGACTTAACGGTACAGTAAGGACTCGGAAAGATAGGGACACCCGTCGTTGCCTTTCCGTCGTACCTGCTTATGCCCCCACTGACTGCAGTTCAGACGAGGTTAAAGATGGGTTTTACGGCAAGCTTTCGGACCTCCTCCAAAAAGCTAGGCGCTCTGATATAGTAATAATGGCTGGTGACTTTAATGCTCAAGTAGGTAGACTGAGTGAAAATGGAAGACACCTAGGTGGATGTTATGGTGTCGCGGCTCAGAGAAGAGACAATGGCGACCGTCTGTTGCAACTGTGCTCAGATAACCGCCTATTTCTAGCAAACACTAACTTTAGGCATAGGGAAAATCATCTTTTGACCTGGCGACCCCCGAAGTCGTCTAAACGTTGGACCCAACTAGATCACATCAGCCATCAGTCACTGATAGAGGGGCTAGATAGAGGACTGTCGCTCGTTGTGGGGCACATATTTAGATTCACATCATGCCCTAGTGCGAGCGCGTATTTGTTTGAGGCTTACTGGGGGTAGGAAAGACACCGTAAAAAAGCATCTTAGGGTTTTACTTAATGATAATAAGGCGAAGAATAAATTTCAGGAACAACTAGAAAAACAGTTAGGCGACCATTAAAGCGATTCCCATCCGGAGGTAGGTTGGAATGATATCAAGAAGGCTGTGGAAACATCAGTGATATCTGCTAGTAAGGCTAGAATGAAGCCGTGGATCTCTGTAGCATCCACCGAACTGATGGATGTCCGAAAACTCATCCCACCTGGCTCTGAACATGATGAAGAACGAAGTCAGCTTAGGCGCAGACTTATAAAAAGCCTACGTAACGATCGCGAACAGTGGTGGGTGGCGAAAGCAAAAGCGATGGAAAAGGCAGCGGCGATCGGCAACACTAGACAACTTTTCCGACTTATCAAGGAAATTGGTATTAGGAATCCTAGTGTAAGTGAGACTATCTCAGAAAATGACGGGACTATTATTTATTCTCAATCCAGGAGACTGGATCGATGGGCAGAACACTTTAGGGATCAGTTCAACTGGCCTCGAGTCACTCTTCGGTTACCCACGATCTCCAGTTATCCTGAGTGGCACATCGACGTAAGTCCCCCTAGTCCTTATGAAGTTGATAAAGCTATAGGAAATCTAAATGGAAGGGCGAGCTGCAGGTCCTGATAGATTGACCCCTGAGATATTTAAGGATGGTGGTCTAGTTTTAGCAGCTAGGTTGACTGAGATCTTAGGTAGAATCTGGGAACTGCACGTAATCCCATCTGACTGGTCTCAATCCCTGATTGTCCCAATCTATAAGAAAGGACAGAAGTCTTCTTGTGACAATCACAGGGGAATAAGTCTAACTAATATAGTATCTAAAATATTGGCCTCAGTAATACGTCGACGCTTAACGAAAGCTCGTGAAGAGCAAACTCGAGAGAACCAATCTGGTTTTCGACCTGGACGTGGCTGTATAGACCACGTCTTCACATTCAGACATGTCCTGGGTTTGTGTGTTTTCTCAAATCCTAATCTGGGTTCTTCAACACCTCTAGTTTCGACTTTCTTAACTTTTCTCTTTAAATCATACTTCTTGAATAATATCTTCTAATTCCAACCTGGACGTGGCTGTATAGACCGCATTTTCACACTACGAAAGGTCCTGGAACATATACACATATATAGGCGTCCTATAATAGTTGTTTTCCTGGACCTTAAGGTGGCATTTGACTCTGTGGATCATGAGGTTGTGTGGCAGTGTCTGAACCAAAGAAGTACATTAACCTTACACAGGCTCTCTACTACTATAACACTACTGGTCGAGTGAGAGCTTATGGCTAACTGTCATCGGAATTCTCTACTTCAGGCGGTGATTGTCAGGGATGTCCACTTTCCCCATTCTTGTTCAATTTTGTCATAGACATGCTGCTAGATACAACGTCATCCCTGTCCGAATTTTCAGTAGAATTATCAGGTGACTCGCTTGCTGACTTTGAATATGCCGATGACGTAGTCCTATTTGTTGAAGACGCTGACAAAATGCAGTCTTCTTACTACCATAAGCAACAATGCCAGCGTGTTCGGGATGCGGTTCTCACCCTCGAAATGCAAAATGTTGCTTCAAGATTGGCTTGTTTCGGCACCTGAACTAGTGATAAGGAGTGAAGTAACCGAACGTGTAGACCGCTTCACTTATCTTGGGAGTCCCATTAGTGCTGATGGCCTGGTGACTGACGAAATCTCTGCACGGATACAGAAGGCTAGATTGGCTTTTGCCAACCTGCGTCGCCTATGGCGCAGGCGAGATATCCGTTTGCTAACCAAAGGACGAGTGTACTATGCAGCAGTTCGCTCGGTCCTACTGTACGGATGCGAGACTTGGCCGTTAAGAGTAGAAGATGTTCGTATGTTACTAGCCTTCGATGATTGATATCTCCGAAACATCGCTCGTGTATCATGGGACAACCGTATAAGCAATGCTGTCGTTCTAGGTTGGGATGGCAAATCAATAGATGAAGTAGTGAAAGTTCATCAGTTGAGGTAGTTGGGACATGTGTTACGTATTGCTAACCACCGACTACCTCGTATAGCTATGTTTTGTAGTGTAGGAGTAGGTTGGAAGAAAACTAGGAGCGGCCAAACCAAAACATGGCACAAATGCATGAAGTCACTGACAAGTGGACTGAGTCATGTTGGTAGATATAAGCTACCTGGTTGGGGTCCGCGAGACGATAGTCACCGATGGTTAGAGACCTTGAACGACATGGCTCAAAATCGTTTGCAATGGCGCAGGTGCATCCACTCTTTGTGTTCTATGAAATTCTAAGTTTCTTCATACCTCATAATCTCTACGTTTCTCCTTCTAAATTTGTCTTACTGAATTATGTTTCTCGAATCATATCTTCGCTCCCTAATCTTCTCCATTACTGCTAATACTTCTATTATTGCTATCACTGTTGGATTTGAACTGAGAGTTGCGTCTCTGTGCTGATGGGGCATGGCAATCTGGACTGATGTAAGTACGAAGTTCTGCTCTGTATCTGTCTGTTTCTCTGTCTAATTTGAAGAAGTCTCCAGCTATCGGTTTTGAATGTATCGACTAATTCTCATTGTTATTTGGGACGGAAAAAATAGTTTTTAGAATTTTGGCTTACAAATCCCTGGTTTTGTCCCTGTTAAATAAGTTTCATTCCTTTTTTGTCATTTCCACGCGCTTGTTTATTTTCAGAAAAACGAACAGAGTGCGAATTAATTTAAATACTTATTTGTGGCATACACTGTTTTTACGTATCTGAGTTTGACTGTACAAATCGTTTATATCATTTGTGTATATGCGTGAAGCGATTATAATTACCATTGTCTTCATGATTTCGTTGATAGTAATTCTTTTTGTTTTGGCACTAAATAGTATGCAAAAAGCACATAACGACATTCTAGAAATCATTTTACATTCTTCATTTGTATTTCAGATGGAAGCTTTGAATGGAACAATGCAATTAGTCGGGGTAATGTGTTCTTGTGGTGAGTTTCATTGGCTTTTTGCTTGTTCAACCATTTGTTATATCATGTAACTTTTCCAATTTATGAATTTGAGTATTGAAAAAAAACAATGGACGTAGAATAATAACATGAATTCACTTTATTTTGTGGCTTCTCTTTAGCCGCTTACAACTTATAAACATTCACCATTCTAACTATTCTCTTTTTTATTGTTTATTCAAACGTTTTGTTTCATAATATGGCCCGTAATTGCTTATGTTTACCTGCACATAATGGATGTAAACTCGTTTCATCTATGCTTTTGTTTATAGGATTTTTTATTTGTGTGGATTTTTAATTATATTGACTAGTTTAATATAGCTCAATAATCAAGTTTGTATTCATCCTCTTTGTTCGTAGTTATTTTTTCTATGAGGTCTATCAGGCTCCCCGCAGTAAAGTAGTTGAAGTTGAGTTTAATCCAACAGCTTTTATCTTTCTAAGTATGATTATCATTAAATAACGTGATTGTCGTACTGTTTTCGTATACTTTCAGCCAGTATATATCAAGTTCTTTTGTTTTTTACTTCCTCCTTATCGAAAACCGTTTTATGTTTTTCTTTTTCAATTTAAATGTAGTTTATTGTTTCGATATTTCATGGAATATCAAAATATCCCAAATAAAGCTATCAGGTTAGTTTGTTATTTAACAACTTTCGAAACACAAATTACTTTATCTGATTGCTCATAAAATTATCTGTTTCCATTACTTGATTTTAAATACTTCAACCAATAATGATATAGTAGTAGTAGTAGTCGCAATATTTAGCTTGGGAACATTTTGTTTTCTATGCTCTATTTTTTTAGGCTCATCATGAACGTTAACTAAAACTATATTAGCTTATTACTCACACTCAGTTCATCGCTTTTCAAGCTGTAAATTCACTGAATCAATTAGATTGAAATTTTTCGTAAGCAATCGGTTGTTCATTCACTCCTTTCATTTTTAATTAAAAAAACTTTAGTCAAGAACAGAAGTTATGGTTTCAGAAGGCATCAAAGTGTACTATACAGTTAAAAACTCGATCAAAAATTAACCAAATTACAATTTAGTATTTAAAGTGCTTTGGTATAGCTAACAAGATCTGTGTATCAACTTGGATAATGTGTCTTCGATCAAGTAATATATTCTCAAAATAAATGAATATATTATTTATCATTTTCTGAGTAATAATTAGTCATCTATTTCTGTTTATTCTAACTAGTGTTTTACAGCGTATGTCTGCCAAATTTCTTAATCGACAACTTCGTATGCTTTGTGATTATGTTGTGGCTTCTTTGACATTAACTACACAAGTGAATTTCTCAACTGAAAAGGTTAGTTACATCCAACGAAGCTTCGTAGTTGACGACCTAATTGGTCGAATTTATTTAAACTGAAATTATTATACTCTTGACATTTCATTAGATTTCCTTTATTCATAAATACATTCTATCTACTGTTTTTTCGTCGATAAAGCTTGATTCAACTAAACTGAGATTTGCTCTCATCTGGCTAACTTTTTATAGGAACCTAATCAATAGTTTCTCTCATGTATTTCTATTAGTTACAGATCGATTGAATTACAAAAACAATTTAGTTAATTATTTGTTTATCATCATTGCTTCATCCGTCTTTCATATGTTCATTAGAAGGTTATCATTTTGAATAATGTCAAGCGTGTGTAGTCATCAGATACTAATTTATATAACTGTATGCTACTTATTAGTAGCAAATCACAATCAGTTACAACGTACAACTTCGTACGAACGTACGTACCTAACTAAATATTGCCATACCACATTATCACAGAGGCATATTTGTAAATTCAAATCCCATAGTAGTAGAGGTAGTAGAAATTATAGCAGTAATCGGAGAGGCTAAGTTTCTAAGTTACTATTCAAGAAGTATAATTGAGTGAAATAAATTTAAAAAGAGAAAGATAAGTCATGAGTAGTTCAGAAAATTACGAATTGAGAGAACACAAAGAGTGGATGCACCTGCGCCATTGCAAACGATTTTGAGCCATGTCGTTCAAGGTCTCTAACCATCGGTGACTATCGTCTCGCGGACCCCAACCAGGTAGCTTATATCTACCAACATGACTCAGTCCACTTGTCAGTGACTTCATGCATTTGTGCCATGTTTTGGTTTGGCCGCTCCTAGCTTTCTTCCAACCTACTCCTATACCACAAAACATAGCTCGTCGAGGCAGTCGGTGGTTAGCAATACGTAACACATGTCCCAACTACCTCAACTGATGAAGTTTCAATGCTTCATCTATTGATCTACCACCTTTACATAGGACCCGTTTCCTAACAGCAGCATTGCTTACTCGGTTGTCCCAAGATATACGATAAATGCTTCGGCGTTTAGCAATAAAGGAACGTGATGATGTTTGGTCATAGAGGTAAAAGGGTTATTAAAAAGTATAGGGGTTTTTGATTCTGACTAGTTTGGTTTCATGTGTTTATACGGGTATGAGGGTAGATTTCACTTCCTAACCCTAACGCGCATACAGGATCCTAGTAAAATCATTAATCTGATTTCGCCTTGTCAAAATAAAGAAGCAGCTCGATTTACTCTTCGTTTATCCGGTAGCCCTGATGCTGCTTCCAGGGGTCTTGCTGGCGTAGGCATAGCATTGAGTGGTAGAGCTGAACAATCTCTACTTGACTGGATCCCAGTAGATAGTCGCTTGTGCGCTGTCCGACTTAACGGTACAGTAAGGACTCGGAAAGATAGGGACACCCGTCGTTGCCTTTCCGTCGTACCTGCTTATGCCCCCACTGACTGCAGTTCAGACGAGGTTAAAGATGAGTTTTACGGAAAGCTTTCGGACCTCCTCCAAAAAGCTAGGCGCTCTGATACAGTGATAATGGCTGGTGACTTTAATGCTCAGGTAGGTAGACTGGGTGAAAATGAAAGACACCTGAGTAGATCTTATGTTGTCGCGGCTCAGAGAAGAGACAATGGCAACCGTCTGTCGCAACTGTACTCAGATAACCGCCTATTTCTAGCAAAAACTAACCCTAGGCATAAGGAAAAACGTATTTGTTTGAAGCTTACTGTGCGTAGGAAAGACACCGTAAAAAAGCATCTTAGGGTTTTACTTAATGATAATAAGGCGAAGAATAAATTTCAGGAACAACTAGAAAAACAGTTAGGCGACCATTTAAGCGATTCCCATCCGGAAGCAGGTTGGAATGATATCAAGAATGCTGTGGAAACATCAGTGATATCTGCTAGTAAGGCTAGAATGAAGCTGTGGATCTCAGTAGCATCCACCGATCTGATGGATGTCTGAAAACTCATCCCACCTGGCTCTGAACATGATGAAGAACGAAGTCAACTTAGGCGCAGACTTATAAAAAGCCTACGTAACGATCGCGAACAGTGGTGGGTGGCGAAAGCAAAAGCGATGGAAAAGGCAGCGGCGATCGGCAACACTAGACAACTTTTCCGACTTATCAAGGAAATTGGTATTAGGAATCCTAGTGTAAGTGAGACTATCTCAGAAAATGACGGGACTATTATTTATTCTCAATCCAGGAGACTGGATCGATGGGCAGAACACTTTAGGGATCAGTTCAACTGGCCTCGATTCACTCTTCGGTTTCCAACGATCTCCAGTTATCCTGAGTGGCACATCGACGTAAGTCCCCCTAGTCCTTATGAAGTTGATAAAGCTATAGGAAATCTAAATGGAAGGGCGAGCTGCAGGTCCTGATAGATTGACCCCTGAGATATTTAAGGATGGTGGTCTAGTTTTAGCAGCTAGGTTGACTGAGATCTTAGGTAGAATCTGGGAACTGCACGTAATCCCATCTGACTGGTCTCAATCCCTGATTGTCCCAATCTATAAGAAAGGACAGAAGTCTTCTTGTGACAATCACAGGGGAATAAGTCTAACTAATATAGTATCTAAAATATTGGCCTCAGTAATACGTCGACGCTTAACGAAAGCTCGTGAAGAGCAAACTCGAGAGAACCAATCTGGTTTTCGACCTGGACGTGGCTGTATAGACCACGTCTTCACATTCAGACATGTCCTGGGTTTGTGTGTTTTCTCAAATCCTAATCTGGGTTCTTCAACACCTCTAGTTTCGACTTTCTTAACTTTTCTCTTTAAATCATACTTCTTGAATAATATCTTCTAATTCCAACCTCTCCGATTACTTCTAATACCTTTACTACCTCTACTACTATTGGATTTTAATTGACAATTACATCTCTGTGCTGTTGTGGTACGGCGACATGAACTGATGTACTTACGTACGAAGTTCTACGTTGCAACTGACTGACTGACTGACTGAGCGATCTGAGAGCGTGACCGCAGACCCCAAGGGACAACTGCTCGAGGCCGGTCACGTGCAGCTTTTTCATGGGAAAATTGTATAGTGTTAGCTCCGCTCTTCAAATGGCCCTACCGCCGGAGACGTAAATCAGTGAGGTAAGTTGAGTTGTGACATTTTTAGTTTCGACCTTTTCTACTCCGTTCCTTCCTTGTGTAAAGGCAGCATCGCTGCAGATGCTGGTTGTCTGAGGAAGAATCTTTGGTCAAGTAGATGCAAATGAATTACATGAAATTATGTTCTCATGTTTCAATATTTAATGTATTCATTTTATTTCGTTCACTTTTTTTGATCTTTAAATTTTTCACTTTTGATCTTATGCTTTTAGTGTCTATCTTCGTTATCAAATTTCTGTTTACTTTGGCACGTTGTTCCGTTAGATCGATTTCTATTGTTCCTGGTAAGCTTTTTTATTTTGTCAATTAGTTTTGCTTGAGCTCTTCTGGCAGTGGTAGTTGTTGTAGCAACCGTTTCTTTAGGTGTTTTATTTTTTATCTTACACGGTGCTTTTTATTAACCTTTGTTTGATCAGTTGTTGATGTTTTGCTTTTATGAAAGACGCGATCGGAAATATCACTATGTATATACAGCTTTTACAAAAAGTCGGCTCAAAAGATCAGTTGCATGTTAAATTTACTGATAGTCTTTATTCAGTTCGTTAACGGTATTGGATCGATGGGCAGGGATCATTTCAACTGACCTTCAGCCACACTTCCGTTGCTCACGATCTCCAGTAATTCTGAATGGCACATCGACGTAAGTCCCCTTAGTCCTTATGAAGTTGATAAAGCTATAGGAAATCTAAATGGAAGGGCATGCTGCAAGTCCTGAGAGACTGACCCCTTAGATATTTAAGGATGGTGGTCTAGTTTTAGCAGCTAGGTTGACTGAGATCTTAGGTAGAATCTGGGAACTGCACGTAATCCATCCGACTGGTCTCAATCCCTGATTGTCCCAATTTATAAGAAAGGTTGTAAGCAATTTAGGGGCGGCCAGACGAAAACATGGCAGAGACGCATGAAGTCACTGCCAAGTTGACTGAGTCGTGTTGGTAGATGCGCATCACCTGGTTGAGGTCCGCGAGATTATAAAGCGGACTGGACATATGTACTCATTAGTTGGTCGGTTCAAGTATTCAACGTCTTGTGTTTTGAAGTCATTATTTTTCCTCTCTTGAAAGAATGTTAGTAATGTTTAATCCTAACTCTAGGTACGAGAATTTCTGTTCACGTCTTCTGAGAAGTTGTCTTGTTCAGTTCATAAAAAGACTCGTTACTGAACACGGTTTATGTCAAAAGATATCCATTTGTTTGTTTCCCATCTAAATACCGCGAAATTTTCGTTAATGAGATTATAGTGGTATACTGATATTCTAGTGACTGACATTCAATTAAACTTCACTCATGTTTTTGAAAAGCTCAAACCATTATCGTCACCTTAAATGCATAGTATGTTAACTACCACTATAAATATATAATAAATGAATGGATTTAATTCTGGAAATAATTGTTTTAAATTGATAATTTTTTAACGCTTACATAGTTTTAGTTTTTCTTTCATTCTTTCAATCTGGAATAGCTTATGCATACAAGATACCAACATGCACAACTTGGTACTGTGAATCGAATCATTGTTTATTTATTTACACAATCGGATCAACTTATTAGTGGCATAAATTATTTGAATACTAAATATGAGGTTAGTTTTCTCTAAAAAATATTTTCATTCATTGTGATTTGTGTGTTCTCCGTACCAGTATTTCTCATTGCCCCATCGAAAGAACAACCCAGGCTAACAATTATCTGTGTAGTATTTTCTAACCTCATTACTGTACCATCATACTTAAGCTCTATCCGTTCTACTTTAACTAGTTTGACATTTAATTAATAGACGCTACTGAAATTCATATCTTTTGCCTTATACTTTATAGCTGTTATGATCACTGCGATTCTGTACGTCAAAATGCAAAGTGTTGCTTCAAGATTGGGTTGCATCGGCACCTGAACTAGTGATAGGGAGTGAAGCACTTGAGCGTGTTGACCGCTTCACTTACCTCGGGAGTCTTATCGGTGTTGATGGCCTGGTGACTGACGAAATCTCAGCACGGATCCAGAAATTTCGATTGGCTTTTACCAATTTACGTCATTTATGACGTAGGCGAGATATCCGTTTGCTAACCAAAGGACGAGTGTACTGTACAATAGTTCGCTTCTTCCTACTATATGGCTTTGAAAGATGGCCAGTAAGAGTAGATAATAGTAGGTATATTGTTTTCGATCATAGATGTTTTCGAAGCATTGCTCGTGTATCGTGGGACAACCGAGTAAGTAATGCTGCCATTAGGAAACGAGTACTAGGTAATGATGGCAGATCAATAGATGAAGTATTGAAACTTCATCAGTTGAGGTGGTTGGGACATGTGTTACGTATTGCTAACCACCGACTGCCTCGACCGAGCTATGTTTTTTGGTGTATGAGTAAGTTGGAAGAAAGTTAGGTGCGGCCAGACGAAAATTATGGCAGAAACGCATGAAGTCACTGCCAAGTTGACTGAGTCGTGTAGGTAGATGCGGACTACCTCGTTGAGGTTCGTGATATGATAGTGATTGATGGTTAGAGGCCTTAAATGACATTGCTCGAAATCGTTTGCAATGGCGCAGGTGTATCCACTCTTTGTGTTCTCTCAAATCCTAATTTTCTACATTCGTCAACGCTTCTACCTTTCTCCTGCTAAACGTATCTCACTGAATTATACTTCTTTAATAAAATCTTTGACTCCAATCTCTCTGATTATAGCTAATGCGTCTACTATCTGTACATCTATTGGATTTGAACTGACAAATGCCTGCTGTACTTGTGTTATGGTAATTTGAACTTCTGTACTAATGTACGAAGTTATACGTTGTAACTGACTGATTGACTTACCCTCGCATAGATATAATTTTTGTTTGAAATCAATCAAATGAATTCTTGTTATCGCTGTACATATCTAATATTCAGACTACTAAGAAAATTAGGATAACACTAGTTGTGTCGGTTGAAGCACATGTGAAGGCACGTGAATGAGATTATATCATGCTATGTATAATGTTGATAGAATGTCGATTATTTTTTATTAGTTTCTGAATTTCGACACCGTTGTCTAAGTACTTGGTGTTTTCTTAAACCTACTGTTATTATTACATGGTCTTTTCATCACATAGTGCATGAGTTAATTTTAAAAATCATATAAAAAATGTACTCTTTGTGCCTGTATTAACTACAGATTTACTAAGGCTTTTTCTTGAAAAATAAATTTTCTCTCTCAATAACACTATTTATCGTTTTTTATTTAATAGTTTTATTAGTAAATGTTATAAAAGAAGAAGTCTTGCATGTATATACTTAAACTGTTAAAGCTATTCAATATCCCATTTATTCTCAACACAGGTTAATTCTAATAATAGTGATTCAAGTACACAGAGAAGGTCGCCTCATTTTGACCCATTGTCTAGTCGGCATTGGTTTTCGTGTATTCTTGCTTTGCATGAAATTATTCCTGATCAGTGGATCACATATCCAAAATCTTGTACAATATCTGGCAATAATACTAATAACGATTCACTTGATGAAACGGACAAACCTCCACATTTACCTGTATTCTATGGTCACTTGTTACTACGTTTACTACCACTGTTAGAAGTTGTACTAATGCAGTTCTTAATGTGTGAAGTACCATTCGTTTTATTGATACCATTTTGTCGAGTTGTTGCACCTTTGTTTCGTTATCACAGTAAGTTAACACTTTTTTTTAGAGAAAATCTATACTTTTTGATATAGTAATTCATTAATGTTTCTACTCCAGTGTAATTTTCTGTCACATACATTTTAATACTACTTTCCTTTTCTTCCCATCTAATACTTCTTTTTCGTTTCATGAGTATGATTAATATTTGATCAGATTATTATTTGATTCCTCATCGAGTTATTATAGATTTCAAAAACTTCTCCAAGTTCTCTCATAGACTTGACATCCGAACTAATACATACTGTGTGGAATCATTAAAGGTTATTAGGCGACAACTGAAACATATTTTTTCATACTGCGTAACCCTTATTTGATTACGGAGAGCAGACTTATTTTGTACACCATTTTTTGTTTCTTGGGAATTATCTGTTTCTAAAGAATTCTGCAGTTATCAAGTAGACTATTTGTCTCTGATTTTTCATGCAGTATTTCGATTTCTGAAACCAACCAAAATAGTGTGGAATAGTCTTAAGCAAAGCAAGTTTTCAGTCTAGTATACGTTACTGTTTTCACAACCGGTGTGTAGTCTAGTTTTTTCTTGAAATACCGCTCACCATTGTTGCAAATATTTTTTTGTTTGTCTATAGTTGTTATCTTAAAGGTGTCCATAATTTTATTAGCATGATGATCAATGTTAAGACCTGGGACAACTGATTATTCGTTTAGATTATTTCTAAGTATTGAATAGCTGTTTTCTTCTCTCTAATTCCCTATTCTCTAACTGAAACCGCCTAGGTGTTAGTGGTACATGAAATCTCTTCAAATGATTAATGTTGTCCAAAGCCATCTCAGTAACCAAACAGCACATAAATGGTTAATTCCATTTTGTTGAAATATCCGAAATTAACTTCTGTTGATATATCAGCTCCGGTTATTCGTTATGATTAATGGTGTTTGTCAAATCAGCATTATTATTATGTAATTTATTGAGTTAACCATATTTACGAAGACATATTCGTCTTTAAATCTCTGTTTATCTCGCACTAAAAGTAAATATTTTTCGAAATTTATTTTTTAGGACGTCCAGTTAATGTTTGTTATACATTACTACGTGATCATGCAGAATTTACTTTGAAAACTTTACTATGTAAATTACCAAATCAAGTCCACCCAACTTTTCAGTTTCAGTTACCAACTTCTAAATATCTAGATACTTCACCTTCATCTGAATTAGATATGGAAAAGACTCCGTGGATTGTTGATCGTTTATTATGTCAATTATTTGTTCACTGCGTCATTAGCAAACACCAACAGCTCGCTATAAAAGCAGCAATTAATCGTTATTCAAAAAGTTTTAACCAACAACCGTCTTCTGTAAATGGTTTATTTACACAAGAAGGATGGAATAATCTTCACTTGTGTGTGAAGCAGTCAGAAGTGTTTTATGATGCAATATGTAAAAATCTCAGCAGTGTTAGTAGTGATAATCCTATTGACCATGACAGGACTGATCAGTCTGTTGTAAATATTTTACTAGATCCTGAATCGTTTGAGACACAGTTCAGGTCAATGTTTATGATGTGGTATTCTTGTAATGTATTTAAATACAGTTGGGAATACTTATTTGGATTGATTGATCCAATATGTAAAAGTAAGTGTTTTTTGTGTCCATATATATTGGAATACGAGCACGTTACGCTTGAATTCATAAGCCGTTACTACATTATAAGTATATAGGGTCCGCGAACCAAACATAACTACACCTCATATTTTTTTAACACATAATTTACTGCACTGGGTTCATGTAGGAATTATGCGATATTTTCATTTGAAGGATTACTTATTCATATATTAAATATATTCAGACACTAAATTCCTAATTATGTTTATCAGTTAAGTAATCTTTACACCTGTCGTCTGCATGAATTCTAAATTCAAATATATTCAATGGTTTTTGGTCAAATTCAAGTAAGTGTTTGTTGTATAGGCCAGTTGAAAGCTGGTTGTTTATACTGACAGAATTATCAGTAGTAATACGATTAAAATACATTGAACATCTTAGCGATTGAAGTTTATATATGACTGATGGTACAAGCGAATGGAAACCGGTTAATGACCAAATAGATATTAATATATTCACAAGCAATTGTTAAACTACGAATCATGTGGTCTGCTTTGTGATAAATTTTAAGACGGCGGCCAGTAATGATATTCAGCTGTCCACTTGGAAGTAGATAAAGTGTAATTTATACTTTACCTCATTGCACAACTCATTGACCACCTGGATTCAGCAGCCAATTGGATAACGCTGTGGCGTTTAAAGCAGAGTACTGGATTTGAGTCCCGGAGTAGACATCAACCCTGTGATGTAAATACATCCAGATGACAAGTCCTAAATGGAACGAAACGCACACCCTGGATTCCATTGCTAGCCCTTATCTATCTCTGCTAAAAAAGCTAATTAGTTGTAAGAAATATGCTCTGCTCACTGGGTTATCACTCCATATATTGTGAAAACTATGTTATTGATGGAATCAATCTTGTTTCGACATATGAAGCTGCTTATGAAAGATTACTGACAATAAGCAATTGTGTTTTAACGATGTTTACTCGAAATATATGTTAACAGATGAACGTTATCAGGTCTTGTTTGTTTTACCTTTTACACAAAAATTATTTTACTTTTACCTTACTGATTATTTATATACATGACTACAGTAATTTAGACTCTTTTCATCATAGTTAATAAATAAAAGTGCTTACTTCCATTGCACAACCTTATATGGATATCAAATATCCAATTGTTTATCTTATACAACTTACTAAAGTAAACGTTTGCTCTTCCTACTCCATAATAGGTAACCAAAGACACGGGATTTCTGGCCATTCTGCAGGATGGAGGATTTGGAATTATGAAGAGTCGGTATGCATTCAAACTGCAGGTTTATATGCTGCCTCCATCGAACTAATGTCCAGTTTTATGTTGCCTAATGAAGTTACATCGGTGGTATCTGATCTGTTAACTAACTGGTTAGCTGTTTTTATCATAAAATTTGTTTATTTTTCATCCCACGTCCATGTGTGTTTTGATCGTTTATCCATTGGTGTATTGTGTGCAAAATATCTGTCATATTTGATTCTATTTAACTGGTTAAGAAATACCTTGTATGTGATAGTAATGTCAGTCAGGAATTACTAAATGTTAGGTAGAATAAATAACATGTACTTGGATATCTAGTTGTTTGTGGTTATTTTGAAATCATACAAGACGTGTACATGAAACAAAAGAATGCTGAATTCCGTTACTCCAATTTCTGTTTTACTCCACCAGAATAACATTTTAAAAAAAAACTAATAAAAATGAAGATTTATGATTGTCTCGTGACATTTCTGCATCTGCGATATACACAGATACACATGTATTCCTTCTTCTCCATAGATGAAAAAAAATCCATTTTTTTATTCATAGACCATTTAATTATAAGATAAATTTTGTCTTGAATTAAGCAACAAATTTAATGAAAAATCACATCAGTCCTAACAATGTCTTCAAACTATTGGTATATAGCAGGATTTAACTTGGTTATGAAATACCAACAAACACCTACTCAACTGAAAATACAAACTTCAAGCGTTAAATAGAAGTGTGAATTTTTTAATATTCTCAGTACTAAACTATGCATTTATTTGTAAAATTACATTTTTATTCTACCTGAAGTATCTGGTTTTTGTTGTTTCCGTATCATTTCACTCATATGAAAATTTATCTTTCTCCCCTTATATTAGTGCAAAACATATAAATTTCAATCAGCTGCTGAATATCACTGGCGCCCTAGCTGTTACTTTACCTGTGAGTTTATCATTTATATTTTCACGTTTAAATCGGAACGAGTTTCAGGGTGATTGTGATAAGGTATTTTCAGTATTGAACTAACAATAAGGTTCGAACACCTGTTTGGTTTTTGATAACTTTGTAAAAGTATTTTCCGGTAAATCAATCATTTAACTAACTACCATTCAGGCTTTTATTAAATTAAATTCGAAAAATTATTATTTTGTTGTTGATTCTTTTGTACTTAATGGTATCTATTTTTAGAGTGTTTACCGATTTCCTCTGTTTAAATTCTGCGTGACTCTATTCAATGACCCAATTCTTTGTGACACCACACCTGAATCGAATCCAGTAGATCCAGAAAAGATGTTCACCTATGTCTCTGATATAAAGTCTACTCATAATCTTAGTACCAATACAAAATGGCGTCGTTCATCGAGAGCTTTACGTCATAGAAAATTGCTTGATAATAATTTGACTTCTGTAGATAATATCACCTCAGGATCTGAAATTACATTTTCTAAGGACGAAACTACTACACCGCTAAAACCATCAAAAGTCACTTTACACTTCTTCGAAAAATATCTTCCATTAGATCAGAAAACAGACTCTGATTTAGCCAGTACACTTAGTAATGATGATTGTAGTGTTGACTCGAGATCACATCAAAACACAGAAGCAAACCAAGCTCTAAAAGACAATTTCAATGACTCAAAATTTTCATCCGATATGATGGAATACCTAGTTAAAGCTAATCTATGGCATTCAATTTGGGCACATGCTAATACAACATATCTAGCATCGTTACCTGGGTAAGCAAATTTACTACGTAACTTTTTTTCCTGAAGTTTTTCGTTTTGTATGATTTTGTATTTGAAATTCTTTTAAGCCTATTTGGATCACTTGGACCTCACCAATTAACAGGCTTCATTTTGACTCAGCTTTTTTTAAAAATTGTGTCTAATGCTGTCGTGTTTTTATGACCAAGTAACTATTTAATGCGACATTAAAATGAATCATTGTTGTTGAAACCAAGCTTAGGGTAGTAATAGTGTGTATACCAGAAGACAACCACTGATCAAAATAATTCGATTAGTTTCACTTGAAACTGTTCACCAAATATCCTAAGAGAATTATTGGTCAATCCCTATTGGTTGATTCCTACTGGTCAATTTTATGGTCATCCTAGATATCAATGTCACGTACTCCAATGTTGTTTCTTATTGGTTGTCTTGACTATCAATGTCACTTCAAATGTTGCTTCTTATTGGTCGTCTTAACTGTCAATGTCACACACTTCAATGCTGTTTCCTATTCGACCAAAATGCATAAATACCCATTATGTGTAACGTTTTATGACCAGGACCCGGTCCCGGATCTTCTGGATTCGGACCTCGTACTTTCTGGAAGCTTGTAGAATTCAGGTTCTACTTCATATCATGTCTTCTTATTTTAACTCAATATGGGGGTTGCGATAATCGGATTTGAGTAGCATGTCGTGTCGCTGGATCCTCGATCCTCGCTCTCGTTTTCCGACTAGGTAAACTCGTAATAGTTCAAGCATATCAAAATGACGTGTTTACGTGCAGGCATGACAGAAACCGTATACAATATTGATTTACAGGCTTTATTTGAGTACCATATATATAGAAATATGCACGATTTAGGTGCCAGTGACAACTAAGTAACAATAAATAGTTAGCATGTTTCTACTTTAGTCGATTTGCGATATGGCGTAACTGCATCCTGATTCGGTTATTTCTACATGTTACGGGTTCTCAATATTATAGTCTGGGACATTCCATCTTAACGCTTGTTATTCAATTGCTTTCTGGCTGCTATCAGTGTATATATTTTGCATTTTGTACTTTTAGATTTAGCTTCTCTTGTCTTCCTATTGGCAATTTCACTACTTTGTAGCTAAGTTGGGTTTGTTTTAAGATATCTTGCTTCGTACGCAGACTAACATTAAAGTAAATGTATTCAGTATACTTAGTTTTACATTATGTGCTGCATTGTGACATGTATTTAAACATCCTAATTTTTTTGCATTGTATTCTTTTAAAGCATTTTCGCAGATCTCATTTTACCAGAATTGCACACTGAAGCTCAACTACTGATGGCATTTTATCTGGTTGCACCATTAATGGGACCCTTGCACTCAGAGCGTCCAGCAAAATTAGTTGATGTAAGCATATATTTTCTTGTGATTCGTCTATAGAATATCCTCTTTTTGAGTAGAAAAATACTTTTTACTTGAGATATTTCTATTTCGCTTAACACAAACCAGAAAATATGATTCAAACCATTTTAACTCTGCCCCAGCAGTTAGAAGGTCTTCATTCAGAAGAGTTATGACGTCTCATGATGAAAGCCGAGTTCCTTCGAAAGTCGCAAGGACGATGCCCCTTGTGATATCCAGAGCAACCATTCTTTTAGGTACATGGATCGTTCGAACATTGTGGGCAACCGGAAGACTATTCCGAATTGCTGCAGAAATTAAACGATACAGACTGGAGTGCTTGGAATCAGTGAAATTCACTGGATACAGGTTGGACAACTGAAACTAGCTTCAGGAGAGCTGCTGTTATACTCTGGTCATGAAGAGGAAAATGCTTCACATACACAAGCAGTTTCACTGATGCTGTCCAAACCAGCGCAAAAGACACTAATAGGATGGAAATCTCATGGACGCAGGATCATCAAAGCATCCTTCAAAAAGGCTGCAAGCGAAGGAAACGTAAGACAGTTGTACGATACAACAAAGAAGCTCTCTGGAAACTATCGTAAACCAGAACGACCAGTAAAAGTAAAGTAATCAGCAACACTGAAGAACAGCGAAATAGGTGGGTAGAGCACTTTAAGGAACTTTTGAATCGACCAGCTCCACTGAACCAACCCAACATCGAAGCAACATCTATGGACCTCCGAATCGATGTTGGCGCACCTACAATTGAAGAGATCAGCATGGCCATCACACAAATCAAGAGCGACAAGGCAGCAGCACCAGACAACATTCCAGCAGAGGCAGTCAAAGCAGATGTGGAAGCAACTGCGAGAATATTTCACATTCTCTTCAACAAGATTTGGAATGAAGAACAAGTACCATAGGATTCGAAAGAAGGATACCTGATCAAAATACCAAAGAAAGGTGATCTCAGCAAGTGTGAGAACTACAGAGGCATCACTCTTCTCTCAATACCAGGCAAAGTCTTCAACAGGGTATTGTTAAACAGGATGAAGGACTTCGTAGACGCCCAACTTCGAGATCAACAGGCCGGATTTCATAAGGATCGATCGTGTACTGACCAAATTGCAACATTACGGATCATTGTGGAACAATCAATAGAATGGAACTCACCACTCTACATCAACTTCATCGACTACGAGAAAGCATTCAATAGCGTGGATAGGAAAACACTGTGGAGGCTTCTCCGACACTATGGTGTGCCTGAGAAAATAGTTAACAGTATATGGAATTCCGTTGATGGATTGAACTACAGAATCGTGTACGGAGGTCAGCTGACAAACTCGTTCTAGGTGAAGACCGGTGTTAGGCAAGGTTGCCTACTCTCATTCTTTCTCTTTCTCCTGGTCGAAGACGTCAACATCTGGAGAAAGGCACTGACAGCTAGGACGCGGCTGGACGATCTGGACTTCGCAGATGACCTGGCTCTTCTATGGCACACGCAGCAACAAATGCAAGAAAAGACGACTAGTATAGCAGCAACAGTAGGTCTCAACATACATAAAGGGAAAAGCAAGATTCTACGATACGACACAACATGCGCCAACCAAATCACTCTCGATGGAGATGCCTTGGAGGACATTAACACTTTTATATCTGTGGTTAGCATCATCCACAATCATAGTGGATTCGATGCAGATGTGAGAACGGGGATCGGCAAAGCAAAACCTAAGGACAGAGTAGGTTGTAGAATGTATGTTGGTGGCCTTTTCTCAATTGGAGTTAAAAAGCTTAAGTAAATGTAACATTAAACTTGCTGTAAACTTCTCATCTCTTTGTCGCTCAAGTTTATTCACTACTTTTTAAAGAAAGCATGCATGAATTATTCCCAGTTTTCAATCCCAATCACCTATATATCTAAATCACAAGTGAATCACTGTTCTCTATAAAGTCAAAAATATCTCTGTGGCTTTTTCGAGCGATAAAATGCTATAATGAAAGTTAAACTAATTATAGTCTACTGCTATAAATTTTTGGTTGATATTTTTAAATGCTATTATTGATAAATCGTTGTGCGTTGCTTCATTGATTTATTCACCTGTCATCCACTGGGTTGTATATATTTGATGTGAGCAGTCGAGAAGTATCGCCAGCTCCTGCACGGTCAAAGTATGACCTGGAGTGAATAAGGGGATCTCTGATCAATTACTGAGTTATTTATACTATTTCATTTTTCGCAGCATCGCTTCGAATAGATTAATCCACAATGAAGGACCATTTAAGTTCCAATGATTTCAGTCATAATCAATTAACTTAAATCAGGACTAAAGTTTGTCATATATACCTCAAAAGTTTTTCATAATTTTCCCCCTTTTAGCTAACTGCTGAACTGTACAGAGCTGTTTGGAAAGTTGACACCATTTTAGCCAAATCAAATTACGAAAAATCGGTTGATTCAGAAGTTTCAATGGTAGATATAAGTAATTCAAAAAAATTAGGCGAAAATTTACCTTCAGAAACTGGTATACCATTAGTACATGTTGATACAATAGCTGATCTCTTGTATCATATTAAATATATGTACGTTGGAAATGGCGTACTGGATCAAGTTCGTCCACTACTGCCACAACTTCGACCAAGTTTACGTAAACGCCTCAAATTCATATTACCTCAAGATTCAACAGTATCTCAGCAACAACAAAATCCAAATGATTCCTATCCAGTATTTGAAGGGCGCATATACCGTGCATCTGTTAAACCACCAACATGTAACGGAGATTTTTGAATATTGTACTTCATAATAATATTTTTGTCACTGTTTAAAAATTCCATTATATATATATATATATATATATATATATATTAGTGAGAGGTAAAAACACTGCTTTAGTTTATTTGCATACCGATGAATCAGCTGTATTTGTGATGTATTATAAAAACTATACTGTTTATTTGTCCTTTCAGTTTATTTTCACTCCTAAACAATGCGTCTACCTAAATCAATAAAGTTTCAGCGGCAATTGTATTTGATATTACTGCCAAATAGTAGTTAAAGTGATCTAAGTACATTTTACATTTAATCATCCATACTTTCCTAAGTTTAGTCTTGCTTTCCCTCAACTAGAAAGAATATAGCTTTACGTAAAAAGTAAACTGCGTTTAGCATATCTAATCTGTGTTCATTTTTATTATTACTTACACACTATATATTTCAAAGATAATATGGGTCCTATAAAAGATTCAAATAACTAAGATCTAATGGAATTTAAGTTTCATGATTATACGACATCAATTTGAAGACTTTTTAGAGAAACAATGAAATTGTCTCTACGGGATTCGGTGCGATTCAGACTAATAATAAGGATTAGCGAATTATTTAAAATCTTTCTCTTCTGATAGATTATTTTACCGTGTTAGTTATAGGTTAAGGTAAAGAAGATTTTAAATTTTCCACACTCGATCCTCAGTGGCATAGTGGTTTAATGTGCCAAGTATGCTCTATTAGTGGACAAGATTTTTGTTATTAACCTGAAATAGGTAATGTTGATCGCTCCAAGTATGTTTACGATCAGCGAAATCCGAATCCTTACAGATAACCAACTGTTTTATTTGGAACTAGAGGTCTTACATTCGAAGAAACCAAGTGTATGTTTTCAATCACAAATGTTTTTAGCTAGTTTTCAGTATCCATCCAAATGAAATATATTTTATTTACTGTTTAATGAAATCTCTATGTACATAATATTTTCCATAAATTTAACAAAGGTATTTTTGTGATCATGGTTTCCGAAATTGGATGTACAATAAATTCTTTCTGTATTATTGTTTGTCCGTAATTAGAAGTCGCCTAAAAACGAGTTTTTAAAATCAATTCATTGCAATCCATTAAACACATTAAAAATAGAATGGACCAAATTGTCGATTGCAATATTTACAAAAAATCATTGGAATTTAAAAACAGATTATGAGAGAATAGAATTTTTATTAAAACTAAGAAATTACGTAAGGAATCCAATTGTGCCTATTTATTTGTACCTGATTAGATGATTGCGTTAGGCAACAGTAAATACACTTTTTGTCGACATAATTTATTCTAAGAGTTTCATAATGTATTAAATTTCTATCATTGAATATAGCATTAATCATTTTTACTATGTTCGTAAAGCATTCGATATTGCAAACATACATCCTTCTAGCCCTTAATCGCTGTCCTTTAAATTTTCCTGTCTTTCGATTTCGACACTCATCAACAACTTACCGGAAGTATCGATGAATTTCAAATACAGAAATACCGTTAGCTTAATATGTATGATGACTAAATAATGTGACTAGCCTTAGACTGTATTTTACAAGGATAGCTCCACAAACAAAACAACCAAGCTCAGAGAACTAAACACCACCACAGTAGAAATAGTGTTTACCTGGTCTAAATTGGTTTGACCAGTTGCAACCCGCCGAGGTTTCGCTAAATACCATATGCCACTTAGTGAAACTCCACTGGGACCTGAAACAGGTACAACAAAGTCATCGACACAAAAATTTAAACTATCATCTAGCCTGTGTTGGGCCAATGTTCTGTTATGTCCGGACATCCTCCCCACTATGCCACTAAAGACAACAAAGACGCTACAGCTCTTGACGAAGATCTCAGAGAGCAGATTTCCTGATGCAATTGTGCTACATACTAACCGGCAGTCACTTCCAGTCAATCTCAACAATTCTATCAACGGTTGTGTATCACGCATATTCGCTCTCCCTCCTACCATCCGCAATCAAATGGGCAGACAGAAAGGTTTGTGGATCTACAACAATGCCATGAAAAGATCCAGATTCGGAGGTCGGAAAATTCAGAATCATGACACAAGGTGGAAATCCACACGAGTTAAAAATACAAAAGAAACAAAATTCTAAAAAACAGAATTTGACTTACAAATATTGTAGTTCAATAGGAATTTCACTAGTTGCCACATCACAAAGACTTTTAGATTCTCTGTTATCAAGAATAGATGTACACCAATTGGACCATAATTTCACTAAGCTTATTAACGAAGTAAGAGCATGAATTCGAACCTCAGGTGTAAGTATATCCGCAAGACGGAACCCTAATGTATCGAGCAATGTGTAAACAAGTGAACATGTAAAGTAGTTGGTGACTTTTGCATCAGTGGTCGAACATAAAACAGTACTTTTGGGTTCCGTATTTGCGGTATTGTAAGACCATAATGGTTGTAGTTTAGTTAATAGACCTATGAAAAAATCGAAGAAATTCACTGTTACGAAAACACTTAGAAATAAAGGAATTATAGGAACATCAGATTTAGGAATATAGAAATTTGTTATTTATTTAAGCATCTAGAATGGAGACTTGGATTAAAAATCATACAAAGCATTAAACTGAAGCACGATAATTCTGGAAACATCGTTGAACTACTGATAAACGGTTTAGTAGCACAATGCGATTGAAAAGCTTTTAGAAGTTAAGGAAATTTCCAAAACCGCTGATTGCTACTTCATTTAACGTTATAACAACACCTGCCCGTAAATCTCTACTTAATGTAGGTGAGCGTGTGATCAGAAATTGATTAGGGTAATATAAAAATAACCTGCTTACGATACAGTAGTGGAGTACGTTATTGACTGTTGGAAAGCAATTAATAACTAGAATCATTTACAACTGCGGTACTTCGTCAGAACATAATTTAAGATTTTATGAAACTAGTCCGAAACACAAGTATATGATTTGACTATAAACTGGAATAAAAGTAGAGATAGGCTGGAATAAATTTACGGGTGACCAGACCAAAACATGACACAAATCCATGAAGTCACCGACAAATCAACTGAACCATGTTAGTATGTGTTAGACTACCTGGTTGGGGCCCGTCAGATGATAGTAATCGATGACTAGAGACCCTGAGTGACATGGTTAAAAACATCGTTTGCTATGGCGCACGTGCATCCAGTCATTGTGTTCTCTCAAATTGTAATTTTCTGTACTCTGAAATTGGAGATATTGACCTTAAAACAATCTTAGTCCATAGTAAGAAATTTTAATCGAAAGCTGACATCCCCATTCTACAAAATCAATGAGTTTCGGATCGGAACAAAATACTTGTATAGAATACCACCGTTTTAACATTATTAATGACTAGTGAAATTATAGTTACAACAATCTTTGTTAACAAATAAAAGAACATTGAGTCAATAACCGAAAATTGCCCTGAATTAGGACATTTACGCTTCCGTCGATTATGGTAAAGAAGCAATTCCTCTGCACAAACACTTTTATGGTGGTCACTAGAATATTATCTATTAATGCACTTGTCAATCAGACCGTTAAGGTAACCACCTGTATGTTGAGAACTGGTGGCCTATCAAAAAATTTCACGACTGGCTATCAGCATAAATCGGGTTATTTGCATGACACTTAAAGAAAGTTTGAAAGGAAAAGATATTTTTATTTCGAGGATGTCTGTTGATATGAATCAATCAGCTAGTAATGTTGAAGTAATACGATGAAATATTCAAACCATCCCAGTGTTCTAGCGTGCAGGATAATGATTTTCGTGAAATAAACGGTGTGGTATAATGATAGTAGTAGAACTAGATAGAAAAATACCAACAGCAATATAGAAGCAATACCATACAGGATTGATCGGAACATCTTATGGGTTGTTGAAAAGCTAAGGTGAATTACTAGAAATAACAGCAAGAAAACTCAGTAGAGAGAATTTAGCGAAACATGTCAAAATCATCGTTAAATACATAAATTTACCGAGTTTCAGACGTTTTGGGGCATTCAGTTTGTGTTTTAATATCTACTAAAACCGATCATGCTCACATGTGATAAAAGAACGAAAACAAGTACTAAATACAAAATAACATAAATTAAAACAACCCGCCTACATAGAATCCTATTCACGCTGTTTGATTCCACTTCACGACAGGCTAAAATACGGCAAAATGTTTCTATAACAGCTGGTGTGAACAGTATATTGGAATTGGGAAGGACTGAGAATTTCTGTAAAAAGAAATGTAAGACGCTGAAAACAGAACAAAACAGAAAATGCAAATTTTGATTACTTACTTCATGGTTCATGATCATGATGCAGTTGATCAGTCTAGAAGAAAATTGACGTGTCAACTGTGTTAATATTGTTTAGGGTATCATGAATACAAAATACTGTATCGAATTTCTTATCGAGACTTTTTCATGTTGTGAAAATTCGCAGCTCTCACTACCCGTTCCGTAAAATGACATAGAAATCCCAAATATATCGTCATTTTTAAAAATCTCACCTGCTTCCTCTAAGCGTCACAATGATTCTCCATGGTTATTCATTGAAAATTATCTTTATTATATCCTAAATCATTTATTGGGTCGTCAAGTTTGTTAATTTTTATTCAAGGTTACCATCGTTATTCAGTGTTTCTCACTGGAACGCAATCCACCTGACTAATAGCTAAAAAACGCACTCACTAGTATAATTCATATAATTATGTCCCACGCTTATTTTTTCGTCCAACCAAAAAAATCCGTTTATACTGATGTCTCTTCTTTGAAAATGTATAAGTGACTTTTTTCCGAAAGTAATTATCATTCGGAATTTATCTAATTTAATCTCTCCCTTCTTGATTTTCTCCACATTTTATGAACGACCAGAACGTCATATTCATGGTCATTTGCTTTTTGTGTTATGATCAAACGTATCTCTTGTTCTAGCTATAGAGCTTGCCTTGTTGCAGGTGTTTTATAGTTTGCTTCGTGATTAACCTTAAACCATTTGGGTTTGATAAGGACTTTAGTAAGAAGCGCCATTATTGAAGGTTGGTAATTCATTACTCCGATTTCATTTATTCTGTTAGTACTACACCTGTAGCATTCAGTAAGCAGTCTTAATATTTGGGACAACCTTGTTCCCCATTTATCTTAAATGAATATAAATTCCCTATATCTGGTTTCTAAATATTAGCACACCAATCGCAATATCGCAGATGTCGCCGAATATACTTGACAGTGAATGAGTTATTGAGTTACCTGATTGAGATTGTATTCAATAGCAGTTTATAACACACAGCTTTGTTGAGACTTCAACTTTTGTTTTACGAACTGGCTACATTTCGGATTACCAGAATAATAAAAATCAACTTCTTAACAATGATTTCAAAACGAAAAAAAATGCATAGATATGGGGAGGTTGGTTTGGTCGTGTGAAATGCAATATGAAGTTTTGTTATCGTTTTTAATCAATGTTAGAATTATAACTCTGTCCAGGATGTGGGCGAATTTAGAAATTGTTGAGGTTTATCCATTCTTACTATCTTGATTTTAACTAGTGTTGGTTTATGGAACTGGCCTTAATAGTTAAGAGCGATGACAGCTCGAAACTCACTTCCTTTTAATGTTGCAATGCGAACTTTGGAAAAATGAAGAGATAACCTTTTCACATAGGCTTAGATGTTCGTATGTGTAGTAGTTTGTTTCCTTCTTGAAACATATGCACATAACACTTTATAAGACGTAATTTATTTGATTAGTCGGAAATAACACTGTACGTTAATCTGATTGGTTGTCCGTGACAATTTATCCTTGAAGAATATAAACGAACCTGATTGGCACCTTTAGATCATACTTGTAAGTACGTATTTTCAAATTGTTTTATTTATTTTGGGTGAAAGGATAACTTTGACTATTTGTCTGTAAATAATGAACAAGAATTAATTGCAAGATTTGTTGAAATTATAGATCAAATTTATTCAAGATGAAGGCTGATTTTCGACTCACTGAAACAAACACTGATATTACACAACCAGAAAATAAAGTGTCCTCAGTAAATTTACATACTTGTGGAGTTATTTACGAAACTGAAATACCAACAGAAACTATCACTAGTTCTCTGAAAAACTCTGTAAATAACTTCCAGACTATCACAGATAAACATCAACAAACTATGCCTAAATTATTAGACGTTACACCTGAAAGCAAAAACAATATGATGACTAAAATAACCGATGGAGAAATAATGAAACATTGCTCACTCACTAATGTGAGACAGCAAAAAGTTCCAGACAGTGAGAAAGATGTTGATAGTTGTCAAAATCAATTGGATAATAAAAGAGTCGCGAGACAAAAATTGAAACGAAATGTATCATATCACGAGAATGTTTTAAATGTTGACAGGTCTATGAATAACTCACCAAATGCTAGCGGTAAAAACTATTGCAGCAGCTCTTCATCAACTATGTCCTCCGTAACTGAAAGCTCCACACCACAAAAGTACTCAGATTGTGTATCTCCTGAAGCCCACTTATCGAAATTGGAGAGAATACACCGGAAAGCATCAAGGCGTAAAAAACTTAAATATCTTAAAGGAATTTTTTGCTTTTTATCAGTAAGAATTATTCTATTATTCACATTAATCTTAAGTATTATATTTCTTCTAGTTGGATATATATTACATATAAGAAACCTTTTAATAACCGGCTGTATATTGTCTTTGACATCAGTTGGTTGTCTAGTCCAGTTATGCTTCACTAAACGTACAAGTTCAAATAAATTTAACCCACAATCCGTGCCATTTGCATTGGCTGCTGAAGATCTTCGAAATACAGAAGATAAGACCTTAATCTCACCTTTGACAATAGCAACGTCGAACCATTTGAAGACCCCATGCATCAGTACTACTGTTAATGAAGTAATTGCTAGTACCACTGATAAAAAACGAAATTCATTAAGAGTTCCTGAAGGAGCATCCTCTGTACAGTTAACTACGTCAAATACACCCGTTGTCATAGGCATCGATCATATACAAGCAAGGCGTTTGAGTATGGCATTACAACAGTTGTCAAGGAATTCATTTCAACTCCAAACATTATCTTCAAATAAGCATGAAACAACAGGTATGTTAAATATGGCAAGACGTTTGACAATGGCTAGTTCAGCCATTGCTTTAGCTGGAACTGATCGTGATTACTACGGCCATTCATCTTGGTTAAATGGATCTAGAGTTCGACATGGTGTAAGGCGTAGTTTGGCATGGAATGAGTCTGGTGCAACAAGATTTTATGAGCACTGTTATGACTGATATAACAACAAATATGTTGCCTTAATGGTTATGATGAAAACTGTCTTACTTTCTAGATTACTTTTAAACTTTGGTAATAATAATTTTCTAGTTGTCTTGTTATTGCCACTCCATCTGAAAGGATTCTTGGGAAGTCACTGCATTTTTTTGTAATATAAATTTTAGTTCCCATTCATAGTGTATAAATAAATAAATATACGTATGAAAATATTTATCAATCAATTGAAGTTTTGAATTATCATTCATTTTACAATGGTGTTTTAATTGTTTACTGTTCATAAAATTGACCCTACACTAGAATAAAACAGCTGTTTAGTCCTCTGACTTTTTCATAAGTATGCCATTTAGTATCGATTCCTGACGAAATCCATGTAGATATTACATTTCTTTAACTATTAGGACTTCCATACCTCGCATTATTTTAATTTCATCGCAATAATAGTGGCTTTAGGCAATTGCTTTTTCCTTATGTTATATAAGTGAATCAAAACACTGCATGCGTTTATGAGACTACTGAAAAATCTTTTATAAGTTTGCCCAACTATTATTGTTAATAGTATACTGAAATTCACAAAAAGTCCATGTTAAAATTAATATAGGAATGTAACCCTTTGAAATTAGGCTGTAACAAAATATAAACTTACTCAATACTAAAATCGACATTTCAAACCGTAGAGATTAATTTTTTTGTGTATAACCAGACTGTTCACTTGACAGATGATACTAATCTCATAAAATAATTTAAAATTATATTTATTTATCGAGTTAACATTCAGTAACCATTACACTCTTATAGAAATGTAATGCTAAAATTATATTTACTTGGCACGTTTGTGTACTCAGATATCAAATACAGTTACATGATTGTGATGAAGCATATGGACTGAATGCTGGTAATAAAAGTCTAAGACAACTACATTTATCAAGCATTATTTTTATGCTTTAGTGGGTAGCATTGATGTATGTTTAATTTATTTGCTCATTCAGAAGTGTTGTGAAAAACTGCTACAGAATCCACGACGAAATTAGGTATATAAGTTACGAGGTGTTTGGGTCGAGTATACTTCTTAACTAGCAGAGTGTATTTTCACAAACTCTTCGGTATAATGAATCATACCGCATTTCGTGGATTGGCAGTTTTCCTGCAGTTAATAATGTTATAATGATGCATGTTTGAACTTCCATAAGTGACTGGTTAATCAACATGAAGGAAGACAAGAGTTAGCTAACATTTGTAAAATGTACATTACATGTAAAAAAATACAGGTTTTATTTGATTCCTTCAGCTTCTAGTATCAATTACACTTAAATAATTGATAAGCAGCATAGGTGAAGATTGTTGAGTTTCATTGGTATCATGATTTGATCATTTTAGATACTTGGAAGGTTAAGCGTTTGTGCGCGAGATCGAAGGTCCTACGCTCGATTCGAGAGAGCGAGGGTCCGACACTAGAACGAAGAGGCCGTCCGGTGCTTTCAGGTCTTTAATGGTGGTCTAACAATGATTGATTCATGATTTCAATGAATATAACTTCTATTAATGGATCATTCAGCTAGTTACAGTACGTAAACCAACAAAATATGGCTTTGTATTTTACTACACATGTCACCAAGTCACTGAAATAAAATTAGTGTTCATTTGAATAGTAATCCAAACATTCTCATCTTGGTATATTCCAACAACTTAACAGTATTTGCCTTAACCTCAAATAAAAATATGGTGCACGATTTTTAGTAACCGACCTTAGAAAGAAACTGAAAAAGGAGATTCTTCATCTTTTCTTGGTTCTAACTAAAACCATACAAGTCGATCAAGAATAGACCGAAAATAAAGTCAGTATTGTGTGAATACACATGCTAAAACGTCCAGAAGTAGAAGAATTAATAAGGTTTGAAGTAAAGAGAGATCTTTTAACATATGTTGTGCATCCATTGAACGAACAAAAATGACAAAAATGGTTGTTAAAAAACAGGGTGGATAACGTCAGTAGTTTTAATCCTTCCTTGCTTGAGAAAATCGCGAAACCTGTCTCAAACTCCAAGCCGACTAAATAAAATTCGATAAAGAAAATTTTATTTCCATCGATTCATGCTAAAGATTTTATGAGGTTGTTGACGATTATAATGTGAAGAACCAAATATGTACACCACATCTCCATGTTTCTCACACTGAAGTCTCCTTTCTTCAGTAGCTTGATCAGGTGTCGTTGTTTCCAATCTGTTGGTACTTGTTCGTCCTCCCTAAGCTTACTGAACAGAGCACGCAACATGTCTGCAGTGACTGCTATGTCTGTTTTTAATGCCTCAGTTGGACTGTTGTCTTGCGTTTGTGCTTTGCCACTCTGGATTTGTCTGATGGTGATGCTGATGTGCTCAATTGTTGATTAGTGAACATCGATTGGTAGGTAGGTCGGTTTTGCTTCAATGATGTGTAGGTTCGGTGAAGCTGGTCTATGCAAGTTTTTGCAAGTGCTCTACTCACCCATCTGACTGTTCTTCAATGTCAGTGACTGTTTTGCCTTCTGTGATTCTAACTGGTCGTTCAGGTCTAAGATATTTTCGGACTAGCTTCTTCGTTGTGTCTCATTTTTCCTTCTCTCAGGGCCTCTTCTGCTCTCGTTTCTAAATCTTCTATAGATGCGTGTTTATCGGTGGTAATGTTCCTCCTCACTTGCTTGTTTGCTTCTGTGTATTCGGCTTGTGGGTTGTTGTTCTCCGTTCTCATTCGGGTGTTACTGATTGCTGCCTTCCTGTTGTTCCTTGCGTCAAACCTCTCCAAGCTTGCAGTCTAATGAAATCTTGCAAAGGCTTGCATGCATTTTCGTCTGAAGAATAAAAATATTTATTACAATTTAACAATGGTGAGGCTAGTAGAATTAATTGAGATATCAATATAGTCAATTAATGTCACTGATCACTTATGTGTATAACATTTTGTATCATTTAGTTGCTATGGCTATCGTTATGGAAGGTTTCGCAGCACTGAATGCAAAAATGGCTATTATTCAATAATCTAATGATGTATGAAACCGATAAGTTTATCGTGTATGCATTAATTTAATTTAAATAACAGATACTATCTATTTTTGGATAGGTTCTAATTAGTATTTGTTTTTAGAGTGAAAACTGAAAGGTAATGAGAAATGACAGCCATGTTCTTGGAATATTTACTATTGTGGCAATCTGACTATGTTAGATTGTTTTACATTCATTAAATGTGTTACCATTAAATGCGCAAATTGAAAATGTAGTTACATTCGTAATTTCTTCATCGAACAACAATTCTAGACCGTTTCCAAGTAAAAATATCTCGAGAAATGTGTCTTTGCGTCGCACACTTTTGAATGGAGAAAGCAAATGTTCCTATCACATTAGAAGAATGGAATCAATGATTACTGTTTGGTGTAATTATCACTATTATGCACCGAAAGGTGAGATGTCACTGTTACATCAGATAAATCTTTATCAAGTTAAATGATATTCTTGCACGCTTTTTATTACAGTTTACTTACTTTGACTGTCAATATGACTAAATAGCATTCGGAATGAATAATCTAATAACCTATCCAATAAATTAGTCAATATGGAATCATGCTTAGTCTGAAGTCAATACACGTCATTATGTATACTAACATAATAGAGAATAAGTGAACTGATCGACACATGGAGTAGTGTTTACGTTATGTTTTGTTAAAGTGAGGAAAATCATTGTTATTAGTTAATTAACCAGAACAATAAGTTGAAAAGTTGTTAGATAATGTTAAAATCGATATCTACATAGTAAGGTTTGAATTTCGTAGAACAGATGAAATATTAAAAATTATCTAAAAATTACAATCTCGATGTTTCAATATTCATACTTTCTAAAATTATTTTATGGTCATTCGAACCAAACTAAATTAGTACTGTAAACAAACTATAATATTTCCTAATCGATAAATGGATATAATTATAGATAAAGGTTATTCAAGTTTATGAATTTATAAAAGTCTTTTAACTGAATAATATTCAGTAACATTTGAATGCACTTAGTTAAATATTCATTGAACTTACAATTGAACAATAATTTGACAGGGGCTATCAAGTCTGCAGCGCAGTAACAAAAATTTGAAATTGTCAATAAAGAAGTGACCTATATTAGTTAATCAATTCAGTTTTTCACTTTTTAGCGCATAGATAAAACGTGATTACATCAATATCATAAAGCATACTTTCTCGAAATTCAAACCAGTTGATCGCAGCACAACAGTCGATGCACGAAAACACCATACACCCTATATGTATATCGGTGAATTGAATGTTATGTAGCATCGGTTGATGTGTCTGCATTATGGAATAAATCTTCTTGGTAATCGCTAATTAGTAGTAGCTAATTTTGAATATTTTGACAAAAACTAAACATAAGTATCCGACGATAATTTTTTTTTTCCAATAGTTCATGGAGAATTAGATTAGTTAAGAGTAGTTCTGTGTTCTGAAACTATACGATTGAATGAAAACATTAATCTATCGAATAATTTATCTCCCTTAGCTAAAACAGGCTACTACAATGAAGACAGACAAATGTAAAGTAATAGATTAATTTGAAGTTCTGTAAAGGTTACACTGGGTCATGTGGTGAGTAGTTGACACTTCCCCTTCATAATCACTAAAGGATTTTATGCATAAATTTTTAACATGTGAATAGCCTCTTCTTTCTGTTGAAAACAATATTTTTACTTCAGGTGAGATGTCACAATGCAATGTTGCCAATAATTTTCTTTTTGTTTCAATCCAGATGTCCTATTTTAATGAACTTAAAGATTGAATCGTTTAGAATTAATGAAATATTGCACGGTGATTTTCTACTAAACAGGAATAATCTTCCTTATCGGTCATTACTACATGTCACAATCTACAGCTATAGTTTTCAAGTTCAACAAACAAGACGTCTTGTATTAACTAAACTCAATCTACCATTATGTCGATGTGTGAACTTAAAAAAATTATAGCTGCATATT